CGCCTACAGTGAACTGGTGTTTGCTTTTAGGACTGCAGGTGCTGTGTTTGGAGAAGGATTCAGAGCCTTTGTTTCAGACTGGGACAAAGTCACAGCCACGGTGAGACATCTGTTTTTATCCTCTATTGTATTGTTAAGGTGCGCTAAAAAAATAATCAGAGCCCGGCAAAGAGACGTGTGTTCCCTCTAGGAAATGAGTAAGGTACAATAAGCTAGAGGAGTAATTTCCCAACATGACCATGTCCTGTCCAGTGAGTTCAAGGTATTGCCCTCAGGCCCCCAATTTATAGCGCCCCCCACAAAACCAAGTCTTTTATTCTTTCTGCCATCTGGCTGTTCAACCTTGACAGTAGTCACTTGGAATGATGATTTGATGATTTGTTCTCTTGCTTATGAAATTGTTTTCTCTTTGAGTGTTCTCACCTTATCCTTACTGTAAGCAGTATCTGAATGTTGATAGTGTAACTGTTGTGTCACTTCTTTAGGTCGCTGGTCTTACCCTTTTAGCTGTGGGAGTTTATACAGCCCGAAACGCAACAGGGGTGGCGGGACGTTACATCGAGGCAAGGCTTGGGAAGCCGTCATTGGTGCGGGAAACATCTCGTTTCACTGTGGGGGAGGCAATCAAGCATCCAGTCAAGGTAGCCAAGCACCAATTCAACCCCCTCTCTCCATTTGGGTATCTGCAGATCCTAAAAATGCTAATCGTACCTTTTTGGTCCCTCCTTTGAATCACGCAGACGGTTAAACGGCTAAAGAGCAAACCTCAAGATGCCCTTGAGGGAGTCGTGCTCAGCGTAAGTGAAGATCTTGAAGCAAATGCATGTTAGATACGTAATTTGTAAAAAAAAAAAATGTCTCACCTTGATATAAATGCATGTTTTACATCTTTTAGCCTTCCCTAGAAGAGCGTGTGCGTGATGTCGCCATAGCAACAAGAAACACAAGGCAAAACAATGGCCTGTACAGGAACATCCTCATGTATGGCCCCCCAGGAACAGGCAAAACTCTCTTTGCAAAGGTAAACCTGCAGACTAAAATGAAGTACATGACTCAACACATGAAAAAATACAGTGTCCTAAATGTGAGCTATTTCCTTTTACACCGAGAAGAAGCTGGCCATGCATTCTGGGATGGACTATGCAATTATGACCGGCGGTGATGTGGCACCCATGGGCCGTGACGGTGTTACAGCCATGCACAAAGTGTTTGACTGGGCTAACACAAGTCGACGCGGGTAGGTTGCTTGATGTTTTAGAACATGAGGATGCTGATTTGACCAATACACCAACAGCAGTACAGTCCTCTACAGTCCTATTAAAGTCATTGTTTTTTTTCCTGTTACAGACTTCTTCTTTTTGTTGATGAGGCTGATGCATTCCTTCGCAAGAGATCTACTGTAAGTCCATGTGCATTTTATTTTTGGGACGTCTTAGAAGTTTTTTTTGTTAAATTCTTCATCCTATTCAACTTTTTAAAATGACATAATCCTCCCTCCTTTATTTGTAGGAGAAGATCAGTGAAGACCTCAGAGCTACTTTGAATGCATTCTTATATCGCACTGGAGAGCAGAGCAACAAGTAAATCATCATTTATTTTTTTAAATAATGAGGGTCTAAAACCTAATTTCCCATTATTTATAATAAGTCGTTTTCTCTTCAGCATGTCTCACACCTGCTTGATCTCTTGTTTGATTTCAGGTTCATGATGGTGTTGGCCAGCAATCAACCAGAGCAGTTTGATTGGGCCATAAACGATCGTATCGATGAAATCGTGAATTTCGCTCTGCCGGGACCCGACGAGAGGGAGCGGCTGGTGCGGTTGTACTTTGACAAATATGTGCTGGAACCCGCCACTGGAGGGAGGCAGTGAGTACAATCCTCACAGCTGTTAAACAAGGCATGAAGCCAAGCCACTGCCGACTAGGGTTGCACACTGAAACAAGGAATTGAGTTTGGTCCATGAATAAATTGATGTATTATACTGATTCAGTGGCTGAAAGGCTGTACCAGGATCAGGATGAAATTCAGACACTTTTGAGATTAAGGAAGCCCAACATACAGTCAGTCAGTTAATTGCACCCATGCTTTGTTTCTCTGTCACATATTTGTTGTGTGTGGCTTTGTGCAGGAGGATGAAACTGGCTCAGTTTGACTATGGTCAAAAGTGCACTGAGATAGCGAAGCGGGCAGAAGGCATGTCAGGGCGAGAGATATCTAAGCTTGGTGTTGCCTGGCAGGTACGTTCCCAGTAGTCATTGTTAACCCAGATCAGTGTTCATTTCAAAGTGTTAACTTTAATTTCTTTAATATTTTAAATGAGTAAACGAAAGTGTATAATAAGTGTGTTGGACTATGTTCTCTTGTAGGCAGCAGCATATTCATCTGAAGATGGTGTCCTGACGGAGGCCATGATTGACGCTCGAGTTGATGATGCTGTCAAGCAGCACCTTCAGAAGATGGACTGGCTGCATGGGGAGGAGGAGGCTCAGGGTAAGACCCTTACAACTCCCCAAGCTGGGGCAGAAACCAGTGGAGGTAAGATGGGCTTTACTCTGCCCCTCAGTGAGGCACCTCAGGCTGAGGAGGTGATTGCCCCAATCCTTGAGATTGATACAAAAGAAGAAGGTGCAAGTATACCACCTCCTTCTTCAGACAACAACCTATCAGCAGAAGGCAAGAGTGAACAGGACTGTGAAGATGCTTTCAAAACAGAAGCGGCTGCATCAACAACAGCAGAAGAGAGTTTGACCAAGCCTGCAGTTTCCACTGACAGTGAGGGCAAAGTTGAAAAGAAAGACAAAACTGGATCTTCACCAAATGATGGAACTCCAGTTTGATTGGTAGATTGTTCAGTGGTAGAAAAAATAGTTTACTGTCCATTCAACTTGTCCACAGGTCATGACTTAAAAGCCTGCACAACTGTCTGTAACAGATGAAGAAAAAAGTCAACTGGTTGGAAGAGATAATCAGTTAACTTTTCAATACAAAACTGAAGCCTGAGGCTCTAACATTCTAATATATAATGTATGGATCATAAAGATGTATGTGAAACCAGACTGTAATAACAGTATGTAAGTGTTGTGCACAGTGGAGTGTCCATTGGAATGATTAAATGGATGTTTTTTATATGAACTTTACTCCTGTTTTTTTTTTTTTTTACATTACAGGAAACAATCTGTATTTTATTATAAGACCAGTAGCTTGGATAAGAGTTTTAGAAACTTAAAATCAGTTAAAATCTCTATCAGAGAGCTGCTGCATTGTAACAATCAATGGTGTGACATCTATTAGATGTATCCTAAAAGACATTCTTATGTACTAAGAGACATCAGACCTTGCATTGACCTTTGATATAGAGCATGATTAATATTTATATATGGTCCTTAGATTGGAGGGATTTATAATGCTGTGAATAATGGCAGAGAGGCGCTTGGATTGAATGAGGCAGCAATAATCTATCAGTATTAACATGGTATCTACATTTTAAGGTAATGGCCTCGGACACGAGGAAGCTTCTTCTACGGGGCAAAGTCAAGGGTACGCTATTCTTAAATATAAGCCAATCTATAAAACTCCTGTCAGACAGTACTGGATGTCTACATGTACTTGTTCAGTATCACATCATGTTTTAGGCCAGGCTTTCCCCACCTTGGGGTTCCGACTCAACGTGGGGTTGCATTGGAATTTAAATGGGGTCACCGGAAATGTTTATTTATTGATCAATAAAGAATATATTGTTCATTAAAATAAATTAAACACATGCTACTGTTGGCCATCGTCAAAACTGAAACTAAAAAACGTGCATAGTCTCTGTCTGTCGTCCATTGTGCAGAAATGTCATCCAAACCTTTCTTCCTCTCTCCACAATAACATACATGAAAAAGCCTACATGTGGTCTAAGATGAATGTTTACTTGCAACACAGTAGAAAAACTTGATTTAAAAGCATTTATTTTATCAAAATGTTTTGGATGTCTGGAGTCACTAGTTTTGTGTATTCAAAGCGGGGTCACGAGCCAATGAAGATTGGGAAATGATTAATTTTTTCAGCCTTATATGCCTTTACTAGAGAGACAGGAAAGTGAATGGTGTGTTGTCTTTAATTCTAGTGGGGTATCCTACTGAACTTTTTTTTAACACTTTTTTAAACACTCAAAGTTTACAAAAGTAGTATTTATACAGACATTGAGTGAAAGCCTATCATAGATACATTTATCTACGTTAGATTACAGCCGTTTGAATTGTGTCAATAATTTACAAATTACATAAACACAAATGTGGCTGGAAGACAAAACATGAAGAGGTTTATCTTACTCTTGATGTGATGGTGCATCTCTAAAATGTTTTCTCCAAATGACCACAGCGGGCTTTACCTTTGGGTTGGCCTATATGTTATGTAACGATACCTGCGATATCCCTCCGTGTCAGCAATAGTCTGAACATCTCTTGAAGACTCAGAGTGAGTGACAATAGCAACGTACTTAAATGACAGGCACAAGTTGAAACTGTCCCTGCAGAATCAAATGATATACAATCAATAACAAACAAACGAAGGCCTTAAGGCCAGTTTAGAAATGTTTTCCCGGACGGTACAAGATGGTTTAAGAGTCTCCTGGTAGCTGAGCCTGGTCCCCCCTGTGGCCACCCCTCATAACACATACACAGACTCACAATCTAGTATTAAATTCTGTTACTGAAACAAATATAAATCTATTATATTTTATGTTGTGGTATTTAATGATGTGTGCTATTATTTGGCATAATATATATTTTTCAAAGCGATCATCTTAGTCTATTTTTCACCTGGGTTTAACATTCCCCTCTGACAAAACAACTTGCCCCAGTTTGGCCCCCTCAGTAAAAGTGGTCTAGAACCACCACTGATTAAGAGGCATCTGGTGCCCTGAAGTTGAACAAGACCGCTTTTGAAGTTCACATTAAATCTCATAAGAAACAAACATTAAGTAGCAAAAAGCAAATAAAGACCAATGACATTTTCTTCAAGAGGATTCTTTTTTTTAGTTGATTCATATGTACATACAGAAATATCAGGCACTCTGAGCTGAGCTTGCAGTTCGCAAATAATTACAATGCTTCAATTGTTGGAACATTTACAAAAAAACAAAAAAACCTATGCCCTGAAAATAGCATATCCAAGTTTAAATATGCATCAACATATTATTTTGAAAACACAAAGGAGAGCCTCAAAGAGGTCTAGGTTTGGTTATTCATTGTTAGCCCACCCACTTGAACTTAATTCTAACTAAGCTACATCACATCGTCGCATCAAAAGAAAAAAAAAGAAAAAACATTCAGTTGAATTAATTGTACTCTCGGTCATACCAAATAAACACGTTTACACTTTCACAGATCAGGAATACCAATCTGACTTATATTCTTAAATCAAAAGTAATTTCATGTCACCTGAAGAAAAAGAGTCAGCATTAATATGCTGCAATTAACAAAATCTGAACATCTTGTAAAAAAGGTGTTGAACTAGGTGTGTGGGTGTTAAAGCTCTCCCTGAGGAGACATGGTTGAGGGTTTAACTGGACTGACATGGAGAGAGGACCTTGGCCTGACCTTGAGCCAGAGAAATAAAGGCAGAGCGAGAGCACAGGTTCATCCTATGCATAGAGAAAGAAAAACATCATCACCAATATGTCTGACACCAGCCATTTGTTAGGTCCTGACCCAAAGCTCTGAGTTTGTGTGTTTGTGTGTCTCTATGTGGGCACACAACATTTTGTACAGGATTCTGAAGTGTTTGTATTTATATACTATTGTTTGATTGCTTGTGATCTGGGTCTGTGTTTATTGCAAATGTCTATTTTGTATCAGTAGAAACAGACAGTGTGAAGAAAAGGCCTGTTGCTCTTCTCCTCAAACTCTTGTAGGAGCTCGTCGATTTCATTCTCCATGTCGTCGGTGTGCTGGATCTGCAGGGGCAGAGAAAGAAGCATGTTTAAAACCTCCTGCAGCCTATTGGCACCAATGAACAAAAGCAATTCTTGGTACATTATTTATGAGTCTATTGCATAGGTTGGCTGCATTTTCACGAGGTGAGCCCTGAGCATCCTCATATATGTTATTATATATTGGAGATTGTGTAAACTTTAAGGCCATTCATTCAAAATGAAGAAGTACATGGATTAACAGCATATTTTTGTTCAATGTTGATCCACAATGTTCCAAAAGACATAAATGACTGTTTGTTGCCCTATGGCCATCAGTGTGTCTGCATAATTGCATTAAAGAACCCTGGTAGAAAACACTCACACATTGACACAGCTCACAGATAAGGAAGGCGCCCAGCGTGGCTTCCTCGTGGTTATCCTGAATGTCTACATTGATGACGTGCACAGGCTGCAAAGTCTCCTGCTCTCTTGAATTCAGATCTAGGATGCAACAACAGAAAAAAAGAGTGCGACCCAAAATCAAAACTGTGTAGTGTCAAAGCAGTGTTCTTGCTAAAATGCTTTACCAACTACATGCCTTCATTAATTAAATTTTTTTGTATGAATAGTCTTACCCTCCAGTACTTGGTCATAGACTCTCTCTTCACAGGTGATGACCAGGTCAAACTTATCCTTGCAGTTTTGGAATCGCTCTGGCTTTGATTTGATGCGTTTGTTGCGGTCCAGCATGTGCAGGATGCCGTTCTGTGTGTATCTTATGAGTGGGGAGGTCAAGGAACACAGTAGAAGCAAGCAAAACAGCTCTAAATAGAAAAAACAAAACTCTAATCACACTTTCCAGACACCAGATTTTAGATCTCATTCAACTGAGCACTAAAAATGTGGGCAGCCAGTCGGTAAGACTGTTTGAAGCATAGATCAGCTAAAGTGAGACTGTATACTTTGATAGCGCCTTGATGTGCACATTTGAATGGTGTCACTAAGTCTGTGTATTAGATAAACTGTAGCACCCTCTAGTGGTGTCAGAAAGGCAAAGCATTCAATAGTGGGCTGCTGAAAGAGAAAAGGTTTAAAAATTAATTTTATCAACAAACCGTAAGGCAAAATTTAGGACACAGGCAGGTACATTTTTTGGTGCTTATTACAGATTAGAATAAGTGTTTACATACTGCCCAATACTTCTTCCTAACCACAGCACATCTTACAATGTCATGCATTTATTTTTAAGTAACAAAAGAAACACTGCCGAGAATTGTCTACAATAAGGGTCTCTGTACAGTTGCAAGGATTTTAAAGAAGCCCAGAAGCAATATTTAAAAAATAGTCATAATTTGTAGTTCATGGACAAATTGACTTGTAAGCCAACCAGAGGTTGAAAAATGAATACCGGCAATCTAGTGTAATCTTTAGCAAATTCCCAATTTCAAGAAAAGCACATCTCTCCTACTTTTCAATCTGGATTTTCAATTGAGAGGCCTAATTAACTAGATCATCCCAAGACGAAATATCTGAGGCACAGTTAACCATTTAGCCTCAACTTTAAACTATACTCATCCTCCTGAAGGAAAATGAAATACACTTGAACAATGAACTACACTAACTCCATAGGTTTAACACAATGTTTAGTGGGGAAATGGATTATTTGTACTACACAAAAATAGCCCAAAAAAAATAAGGACAAAAAGGATATTAGTTCAAACTTTTTGAGAGCAAAAATGCATCATTGTAATGAGATCACGTCAGAATATCCTGTACATTTAAAAATAAATCCTGTGTTACTTACTTTTGCATTCTTTCCCCTGCACATCTGTTATTATCTATGTTAATCTTAAGCAAACATGCATCCATACATTTTCCAGTGATAAGTCATTTTCAGTTGTTCTCTTGAGAGCTCTATATACTTCTCTTGCTATCTGGATATAATGCTGGTTTTACTGTGTTAAGTTAATTTCAGACATAGATATCTCAAGATCTCAACAAATTAACTCCCTATCACAGGAAGACCAGTATTATGTGGAGATGATGACATATATCAACATCTCAGGAAAAAAATGATAATCAGGAAATAACCAGTTACCATGAGAAAACAGTTACATTAATATATGGATGCATGGCTGCCGAGGACTTTGATTTGCAATGCGTCAAACGTTACATAATATTTACTCTAAGGTGGCCAATACACAAATCCTCACTGACAAGGTACACCACCAGCTTGTTAAAATGATCTGCTGTAGCCAAAACGGCATTAATCTAAATATACATGAAAGAATTGTAGTTCTTGAAACATGATTAAGTATTTAATTCTTTCTTTGCTTAAACTCTGTCTGGGAAGACTGTACTTGATGTACTATTTTTGTAATTTACTTTTCGGTAAATGCTCGTATTGCCTATACGTTTTCTACATGTGACCACTGTTATTCTTTGCTGACGCAATTCCCCACCGTTGTTTGTTTTTTTTCAACTGTTTTTGAGGTTTCACTGATAACGTGCCAGCTATTCAGTTAACAATTACAGGAAAACAAAAACAAGCGAGCCAGAAGTAGTGGTAAACCATTCAACACAAACTGTCTCCTGCACACTTGTGCTCCTAAAGCTTCAAAACTTACATTGCAATGACTTGAAAAGATGCATGTTGCAAAGACATGAAAACTGCACTAAAAAGGGAACAACAGTGGTAACACGAAGAACCTCAAAAATACAGACACTCAAAAATATAAACTAGATTTTTAGGAGTGTGTACAGTTTTAATTTTAATTGAAAAAACTCAGCAAAAATGTAACACTTTGATATTCACCAAAGGCACTTACTGCTCCAAGGCTGCTGGGTTACAACCTGTTCGTCTGTCCCTGTGTTGTATGGGTTTAAAAAAAAAAAGCACGTATCAGTAATACATTTTATATACCTGCCTTTGCTTTACCTTCCTTCGCTCTTGCTCTCCCATTTGCCGTGCAATTCACACTTCCATGAACTCCCACAAGGATTAATGTCTAAACAAAATATGTTGACGTGAGCCATGCTTACTAATTTGGCTGCAAGTACACTGTAAATGCATGTATGTGTGTGTGTGGTAGAGAGGGTGAGAAGGGGATACAGTTCCTTGTCCTTGCGGACCAAATCGTTGTACATCTGTACATAAGTCGTTTTGAAGTCATACACATTTGGCTTATCCGGGGCAGGACCGGGTAGCTTCACATGAGACCCTGTCCCAAATGATCGTACATCAAATCCACGTTTACTGCAAAGATGAAAACACAAGACAGCAAATTAAATATTTTCTATCAACATATCTAGATCCAAAAAAACAAACAACACAAGAAACAAAACATTAATATTTTCACAGTGCATTACTGTGATAGGACCATTTACAGGTTGTCTCCTCCAGTGCTGAGTCAGGGGAACTTCGTTTAACTAATCTTTTGTTTCTCAATCTTGAGAAATTGGATAGAATATATAGTAGAGTATATTTGTTTAATAATTTGGTTACCTAATAGGTACATTTAAAAAAAGTAATGCAGTTATCCTCCTCTAGTAGGCTACTTGTTAAATAAAAAAAGGGGGGGGAGGGACACCGCTTTCAAATGACAAAAGAAATACGAAATAAAACCGAGTGTAAACAGTCTATGAATACAGTATTTGGTTTACAAAGCATAAAAATAATAATCTTGAAGACATTTCCTCCATGGCAGTGTTAACCAGCTGCAGTTGCTCCTTTCCGGAATATTCCCTACAAGGGGGCGCTCTTGTCATCATGAAGGAGGAAAAACTACCTCACAACTTCAGCCGGTGTTTTTAAATCCCTAATCTGTTAGAATCCTGACTCAATAGAGCGTTTTGGGCAGACACTGGCCTTAACCCAGGTAAAAAAAAAAAAAAAAGAAAGAAATGTCCATTATAACCCTGCAGGGGAGACAAGACGAGCGAGTCCTTTGTTAATGCACCGAGGCCCGACGGATTGTTGTCTCCCTGTCAGCATGGCCGGTTTAGAAAACGGCTCGACACCGCACACATTTCGGGTGCCTTCACGGTCCTTTGAATGTTTTTGTTTTCATCCCGGTGGTTCATCATCTTTACCTGAGGATATTGTGCGCTTCCATACTGCGGTTCTGGTTGCTCGAGCACACGACCGCCACACGCAGCGGGTGGCTCGGCATTTCGACTCCGGCTGAAACTAAACGATAAGCTGTCAGAAACTAATAGAAGTACTAAGTACCTGCGACAAAAAAAAGAACACACCCCTATATCAACACTAAATAACCACAGCGTTCAAGAACAACGACTACGCTATGAGCTGGTCTTCTTTGGAAGCAGGAAGTTAAAATGGCGGAGCTCCGTTAAATAAGCTTTAACTAGCGATGTCATTTATGGGCGGAGCTTCCCACTTGACAAGGCGAGAGAATGTGGCTACGTAGATGTGACGTCAGAAACAACAACTTTTTCTTATGTTATCTTGCATGAAAGCTGTAGTCAACAAAACAAAGTGCAACTGGAACACTTAATATGTCCAGGTAGGAGCACACATGTGAATCAAATGTGCCGTCATGATCTGTAGGATACTATTTTATCATTTAAGAAAGTAGGCTTTATGCTACATTTTCTTTTATTAAGGCTCAAGAGCACGTTTGTTAACCTCTTATTTAATCTGTGTTAGAGTTGAGCGTCCATGCTAAACCATAATGACATAAAGTTAATCAAGGCTTTCAGAGATTATACCTTTTCTGTTTAGCCATTCTAATTAAAATATTGTGATGTAATTTGCCATTTTGACAATGTTGCAAATCAATAAGGAAATCTTTGTACGTCTCAAACCCTAATAAGACAGAACTGCTCTGTATGTTTATCTAATCACTTCCAGAAAACAACCTAATAATAAAACAATATTTGCACGCTGTTTAATCATGCAGAAATGTATTAATTAAAAGAATGTGAATATTTGAATATATAGGCCCCATTATTTTTTTGTGTGATTGATCATCATCAGAGGGTTAACCAGGGCAAGTGTTTATTCAACATTCAAATCCCTGTCTGTGGTGAATTCTTCACTCTCTCACACACAAAATGAAAACTAGGGACTGCTGTAATGTATCACAATTGACCTCGTGGTACTTTATTAGGCTAACTCACAGCATGATATGAAGGCATTCTAACTCGAGATGTTTAGCATTTAGAGATTGTACACCAGATTGCATTGCCCTTCACAAAATGGTATCAACACATATATTGTATACAGACCTGAAAGAAAAACTACATTTTAGAATTGTTTTGTAGAGTAGAAAAAATTCATTCAGAAAAGTTTTATTTCCCAGCAGCAAAAACGGGACCGGTCTCGATGTTTAACAGGCTTCACAATGTAGCAAAGACTGCTGTTTCGGATGTTCAAATTGTATTGCTCTATAAATGCTGTCAGCATTTAGGTTGACAGACTCAATCACAGACCAACTCAAACAAAAACACAACACTGTAATCTACTGTATATTAGTAAATGTAGGTTATCAGTACTTTGGATTCAGAGCATCCTCGCAAAGGTTGGCAAGACATGTTTTTTTTTGCAGAGTCACAGTTGATTGTGCTTAAATTCAGTTATAATGGATCTGTAAATCAAATTATGAGGTTATTTAAAACTTATCGTTGCCGACCATGAGTGACTATGATTGCGAGATTAGATATGGTCATCATGGATGTTAATTGTAGATTATTTCTTTTCTCAGTACATTTTGAATGCAGTAAAACCTCAGTGGTGCGAATGAGTGCGGTAGGAGTATGTATGCTGTGTTGTGGGGCTCATGATGTTTTCTGTGATGTATGCCACTAGCAAGCAAATGATGACCAGCATCACACAAATAGCTCCCCCAACTGTTGTCATGGCGATCACAATGTCCTGCATCCCAGAAGGTGGTAGGGTGAACTCTACACAGTCCCGTTGCTGGTCTGCTATCAAAACTGGATCAGAGTGGGCCAGGGAGCGCAAGCAGATGCGGTAGGGGATGTTCTCGTGCAGCTCGGTCAGGAGGAAGTCCCTGCAGCCAGATCCAAGATGGACACCAGCACATTCAAACTGGGTATAGCTTCCATTCCACCAGCAGCTTAGTTCATAGCCTCCTCGTTTGTGCCGACGTCCACTGAAAACAGAACTTAACCTTATAGTTCCTTCTCTTGTTAAATCGGTTCCAAGATTCTCACTGCTTTTTTGACCAGCAGCAGTCTCTTTTGTCTTTATATCCTGGCCAGTAATTGTGGATTCTGACCCATGGGTCCACTGTAACAGTACACTGCCATTGATAAGAATATTTGCCACCAGATTCCCAAGAGACACCACTGTCCTGCAGTCTGCCTTATGACACTTGTACCCAGACAATGTGTTTCTAAAACACAACTGCCCGCCAATGCCTCCCTCGATCACTCGGTAGGCACACAAAGGTGACTCTCCTTCCTCGGGGATCTGGCTTGGTCGCCTGCCAGACCTCTTCGATACCACAGTAGTAACATTGCCTCTGCTGGTGTTGAAAGAAAAGCTATTCACCTGGCTTGTTAACTCTTTAAGTTTTGGTGATGGCCTACTTTTGTGGCTGTGATTGCTATAGTTGGAGCCGATAAAAGTCTGTTTTAACCAGTTTGGGGGCGTCCCCAATTGAATCCTGCCTCTCACCTCTGATGGGGATGATGTTGATAGTGATTTTGAAGATGCTAAGTTGCTGCGATGAGATCTGCTGGAGCCAGCTGTCTGGTGAAATGTGCAGAGCAGGAGTGCCGATATGGCGAGCAGGAATTGTCGGGGTTTCATCTCAGTCCCTCTCATCGAATTATTCTCTCTCGAAGTGGATCAGATGAGCGATGGTACATGGCGATCTGATGCCTGCCATGAGCTCTGCCCTACTTTGCACACAGGCGAAATCCAAGTGCAGCCGGAAAGCGCATCCATAGGCGAAAGGGGCGGATGTGCATCTGCGACAGAAGAAAAAAAAAACAGAATATCATCCAGTAAGAAAGAGATCCGAGGATGACCTTGCAGAGGATACGCTCACAGGGTGATGTGAAAAAGCCTCGACTGTGAGATTAGTCACCCCGGTGCGGATTCTGACTCGCAGACGTTTCTGAAAATTTTTTTTTTGTGGAGGGACAGAGAGGACTCAGCTATCGTGCCATCAGATTTCGCTTTCTTCTTCCTGTCTGGCTTGACGTAAAGGCTTTGATTCCTGCTGTGTGAGAGTGCACATGGAGAAGCGCGCGCCAAAGAGTGCATGGGAGCGTGGGTGCGTGCACAAAATATTTGTAGTCATCATCAGTCGGTTTGTGAGTCATCATCCCACACAGAGCGTCAGGTGTCCGTCAATAAAGAAGTCAGCATCCAGAGTCCTGCCAACACTGAGTTTTACCTGTTTGAGTCCGGAGTCCAGACTTTTTCTTTTAACTGGTGAGGTCCAAATGGAGGGGTGCTGACAGGTGCTGACAGGTGCTGACAGGTGCTGACTTAGTCAGGGATGGCATGACGTTTACACGCTGGACCTTAACATCCTTTATTTGTGAGAGGAACAAAGTAGGCATACGCATAGTTTTTTGTATCTGATTTGTAGTCTGATTTCAACTAAATAAATGTTAAATAACTAGGCCTAATTCTGCTTCCCACAAAGCCTAAGGGAAAAAAAAGTAACTTCAACCTGAAAAAATAGGCTATATATAGGCTAATACAATAGTAGCAGCTAGACCCTTTTGTCTTTCAACAAAAGTTGAAATAAACAAAGTCATTTATTTTCTTTCTATTGATTCATAAAAAGAATTTAAAATTTGTATTGTTTAAAGTTGATTTGTTTCTTTATGCAGTTGGCATAGTTATATTTTGATTTGACACATAGCCATACCAAATATTTGCAAGAATATTTAACACTGTTCATTAGGTCATTTTTTACAATAAGAATCCCACTTTATTGTCTACTTTACTTTACTAAAAAAAAAAAAAAAAACGTGATCTGCTCACTTTGCTCCAGTTCTCTCTCCCTCAACACACACCTCATCTTTCCATACACACACCAGCCTGCCCCACCTCTCTCTGTTTCTGCCTCACTGTGTGTCTGTTCTGTTCATTATCAGCAGCTTGTTTCATTCTATCACCTTAAAACACAACTTAACTCCTAAACAATGGGTTACATTGACATTTGACAAGACAGGTCTAAAAAAACCATCATATTTACAGGAGGTCCATAAAAAGAATGCTTTCAATACAGTGTATGTTTCTGTCACAGTGAAGAGTGAAGAGGAGTTGGAGGGGCAGAGTGAGGGAAGTATTGATTGATTTTGTTGTCTATCAAAAATAAATGAATAGGCCTATTGACAGTTAGTAGACCTGGTTGTGGTGCCCAGGTTAAGTGTGGGAAATGTTGGATGTTCTACCATATATTTCTCATATGACAGACAGCCTGATGTGGAAAAAAATACAGTTGCACAAGCATGAGGCCCCCTTACATGGAAAATGAGGCCCTATAGGCAGTTCTTTTCAAAGTGGGGGTCTTGACCCCCCTAGCACCCCTGCGGCCCCAAATAGTTGAATTTGGGATGGCACATTGGGTGGCAAATCAGTTTTCAATGGACTCCTAGTTCACCCCTGGCCACCTCCTTGATATGCACGCTTACCTTGTGCTGCTCACCTGCAGGTTTTTTTCATACACACTGTTTGCAGGCCGGCCTTTGCTTATAGCATCTATTTTTACTTATGTTATGTATATAGAATTCAAAGGCTCATATATAAAGTTATGAAATAATATATAGATTTTCTGTATTTGTCAAATATAGTAGTTGTTTTCATAATTCAGTTGAAAGAGCGTGTATATTAATGATTAGAATTAATTCTGAATGAAATGTATTATAATATTTTCAATACCTGTTTGTTAATAAAAATTTGGTTTGTAAATATCTAATTTTGGTGCTTAAAAAGATGAGTTTAGTTTAGTTCAGTTTATTTGTTTTTTTGTTTCGTGGACAGTCCCCTTTTAGTTAACTTTACAGTTAAGGAGCCGCTTTAAGCCTTTGCGGCTAATTTCCAGCTGTAGTCCCCGGCCAGCTGTCAGTTGGCAACCTGAAATGCATTATTGTTTCTTTGTTTTAGTACTTTTAAGTTCATAGACTTTATGAACTTATGATGGATAAGTCATTGGTTATTGGATCTAATATCTTTTTTTATTTAACTTTTATTATTTTCCCTTGCAGGAAAATATAGTTAAATATAAAATATCTGTAGATTGTCAAATGTGATTTTGGATATATAAACTGTATGATATGTGTGTAGAAAAAGTAATCACATGAAATTGAGAACATTTCTCAGATTTTCTCCACCACAGTGCCATTATATTTTGCAAGACAGAAAGTCCTTGCTCTTTATTTGAGAGAGCTTGTTTTTATTACTGTGTTGTTGAGAAGTAGAGAAGGGTCCAATGAAAGCAAAACCCGACTCCACATTTACTTCAGTTATTGTTTATTTTGCAAAACCCCTTTTTTGATTTGGGATGATTAATTTGTCTGTTTCCCATGGTTGTTAAATGATTGAAAATCTCACATATAAAAAGCTTTTGTTTAGCAAAATAGTTAAAAAAAATACAATCAAAAAGCATCTTATAGTTCTCTAAGCACATTTAATTGAACAATGCTTATGCGTGATTATTCACAGCAATAGCATCCATGTCCCAAGAGAATAACTTGGCAAACCAGTAAACAATTAGTACCAAGGGAGAGAGGATGCATTGCTGACAAAGAGGAGAAAAAAATGCTGCATCAGTGAGATTAGTTTAGCTCCTTCTGTCCCTTTGAGGTCTCAGAAGATAATTGGTCAAATCTGTGTAATCAGCAGTTAACAATATCTCTGATGGTCGGACACTTAGTTCAGCTTCTGAAAATTAAATAAACAGATTGCTTGTGCTTTTCAACATGCCCTTTAAATAAACAGAGTTAATAAATCATATTGTGATTATTGGAATAGGAACATGCTGAAAAGAACACAACAATTAACAGTGACAAACACCTGTTGATATGATCGGCCACGTCAGCAGACAGCATTGCATTTTAAGTTTGTTGGTGTTGTGGAAAGAAAACAAGGAAAATGCCTTCCTCTGCATTTAGTCATGAACATATTGGATTAAATTGACTATGAGCCTGATCAGCAAAGATGAATCCTTCTGTGTGACAAACCTTTTCAGTCCGTGTGTGCCCATATAAAACATCCTGAAGGCCATCAGCAGCTGTAGTGGATAATGTGAGCTGTTGATGTCTTTCTCCAGCACACATGCTGGTCAGAAAGGTAAAGCAAACTATGTTGCCATGCAGTAAATGATGCAATGTCAGAGGACCTCACTGTAGAAGCTTTTTTGTTTGGGCTATTGGTCTTTTCTGGCATCCTTGGAAACATCCTGGTTATCCATGTGGTGAGATTGAATATATATATATATATATATGTATTTGTTAATTTAACTGTTCTCTAATGTTCTCAGTCTGTTTTGCTTAATATCTCAGGTGCTTCAGTCAGCTGTTGAAAGTCCTTCTGGGAGACTTCCTCCCTCTGACACTATTTTGGTGCATCTCTCTCTGGCCAACCTACTAACCTCACTGTTCCGCACTGTGCCCATCTTTGTGTCTGACCTGGGCCTGAATGTGTCCCTGTCCCCGGGCTGGTGCCGTGTCTTCATGCTGCTGTGGGTATGGTGGCGAGCTGTGGGCTGTTGGGTGACTCTGGCTCTAAGTGTCTTCCATTGCACCACACTGAGGCGACAGCAGGTGGCCTTTGGACCTTTGGTACTGCAGAGGGAGAGGAGGCGGGTATGGATCGTTCTAGCACTGGTGTGGGGGGCAAACCTGGCCTTCTCAATTCCAGCTCTGGTATACAGCACTCACGTTCATGGCAACGCCACTGTCGAGCTGATGGTGATCAGTTGCACCACCAGGCCTCTGCTGGGCTGTGTGTGGGAGTTTCCCAGCATCCAGCAGGGCTCAGCCTTTGCCTCCACCTCACTGGCTTTTAATGAAGTATTGCCACTGGTGCTAATGGTTTGTACCAACTTGGCTACACTTCATGCTCTCGCAAAACACATCCGAGCTGTAACCGCTGGTGCAGAGGCAGGGAAAACGCATGGTGAGCTGGACAAACATGTGGCCACTGAACGCAAAGCAGCTCATGTCATCATGTCTCTAGTGTCGCTCTTCGTGGTCTGCTGGGTGCTGCAGGTTGCTGCTGTGACTTACTACAACCATGATGGGGGACACCACGCTGAAGGGCTGCTGACTGTGGCCCACTTCTCTGCATCGCTATTCGTAGGATTCAGTCCCATGGTGGTGGCCCTCGGTCACAGCAAGCTGAGGAGGAGAATTATGAGTATGATACAGGGCTGGTCTAAAGTTCTTAATTGTCACAGTGAGTTGTCTGATAAGGGGGGCACATCCTCTAAGACTAAAGGAAATCAAACCATTTTTATTGTTCAAAAAGAGCAAAAGGTCATAAAAGTGGAGGAAAAGGTCAAATCAATAAAGTGAGTGCAATGATATCAGACTAACAAACATATTCTAATATTTATACTTAAATGTGCAGAGATGCATCATCAATTTAAATCCAGTGATTATGTGATCTCTGTTTCTTCTGAACTGTTAAGTATTAATGTTCTTATTTAAGATATTCTTTCACACATGCAACTTAAACTTACACTTGTGTTGGTAGGTCAGCTATCATTACTGCAAAAGATGATTGTATTGATTTTACCCAATTCAATCCACTGCTTCTTTTTTCTATGGGGGTGAAATGTATTCAAATGACCCTTTGAGTTTCTCATCTCATTTTTTATGGATTGACTGTTCTATACAGTCAAGCTCTATTGTAAATGTCAATATCATGTACAATTTCTCAGAAAGTTGTGAGCCCAAAACAAAACTTTACAATGGCTCGCACCAAGTCCAGTCACTTTTGAGCTGAAGACAAAACTCTACAAAAAAAAAAAAAAAAATCTAAAAAAAAAAAAAAAAAAAAAAAAAAAACTTAGGTCAATCTAAAAATCCACAGAAATTTGGTAACAATAAAATAGTTTGAATCTGTCACAAGTTACCATTTTATTGGTTATCTTTAAACTGTTTTTTTCCCCATGGTTTTGAAAGTTTTTGTAGATTTGACCAATCGTGTTTTCTTTGGATCAGTTGTTGTGAAATTTAAAATAAAAGCATTATCTACATAAATCATTTAAATAATTGGTTCATAAAAACAACAATTAAACATGAATTACTTAAAAAAAAAAAATATATATATATATATATGTATATGTATTTAATGCTGGAAGGTCTGTGAGAGCTGCACCTTCAGAGTTTCAATAGAGTGTACTGTCACCGAGGGACTCGGTCAGAGGGCGAGTGCAGACTTGATGAAAGAACGTAGACGACGATGGCCGACTGCCAGAACAATAGGGGACATGGCAATGAAAATAATGTTGGCAAATCGAGCAACGACCAGAAGAAACTCAGCTGAGGAGCCACGGTTGTAGTTGAAATAGTTGACAGAGATAATGCTGGTTCCCCAGGATAAAATAAAAAGCATGATGAGAGCAAGAATCACCTGGGGAATGCACACACAAAGCAAAGAATTAGGGAGGTGAACTCTGATCCAAAACTGAGATTTTGTGAAACTGTTGTTAGCTATGTTCTTCAGTTCCATAAATCCTCAGGTCTACTGTAAATCATACTTTATGATTCATCATTCCACTTCTTATTTAAAGGATACACTTGTTAGATCTGAAAATATCCTTTTCTCCTCACCTTGGCTGCTCGTCTCTCAGCTGGCACTCGCTTAATGACAAAGACACCTTCCACTGAACTCCTCATCCTCCCATGACTATGGAGTGTGTAAAGGGAGCCAAGGTTGGTGAAGGTCATTAGGATAATGGGAATTGTTTCATGGATAATCATAGATGTGGTGGCATAGAGCAGGCCACTGTTGGTGGAGGGAAAGTTCCACACGCAGCCCAGCAGGGGGCGTGTTGTGCTACTTACCAACATCAGGGTCTGATGAGAGAACAAGAAGACATGAGGAAAGTGAGGGGACTAGGGAGAGCTGGTACAAACATTTTGTCAGAGATTTAGGCTACTAAAATCATTTTTTAAATTAAAATAAAAAAACATTTACAAAACTACATTTAGTTTTTTAGTTCACAGAAGGGGTGACTTTTAATCTGTTTAAATAAGTTAAAACTTCAGATATCTTACAGAAGATGAAGTACAATACACCTGGATGCTGCATGAATTTAGGATTCTACTTCCCCATTTGAGGGAAGGATTGATGGTGTAATAGACCTGGTTTTAACTCCTTGTGTACAATCAATATAACATGTTATTGCCAACTATCAGAGCTAGGATTCTGTGTATGTTTGACAAAAATACTTTTAAACACCTGTTGTGTTCCTTATATGTGTGAAATTAAATTCAAAATGGGATTCATGATATATTCTTTATGTTCTTTAACATCACTTCAGATGTTGTAAATTTACATTATTATTTCATAGTCTGTACTAAATGACCTCATAACCCTTATGTAACATTCACAATACAATTAAAGCTAATGCAGACTCTTGTTAAACGGTTCTCACCTCTGTGCTGTTCTCGTTGCCATTAGTGGAAAAGATACAAGCAGGAATAGAGTAAAACAGGTTGAGAAGCCAGATGAGGCCCAAACTCAGTAGTATGATCTTAGGAGGGCCCCGGGACACATGGAGGGTCCCATTAGAGGGAGCAACACGCTTTAATGTCTGGAGATGGAAAGCACTGAGAAAGAGTGTTGACCACACATTGACGGATCGCAGCCATACCCAGACACCCATAAGGAACTGACACCATTCTTTGGATGAGTACAGCTGTAAAGACAGACCAGTGCATGTCACAAACTTGGGATTTGAATTAAATTCTGGACTCAGCTATTTACTGAAGATATAAAGGAGTCTATTTCACCAGCCACACAGACATCTAATGCATCACTTGTCTACTTAACCTTTCAGATACTGTCATTTTGTTATAGAAAACACTAACGTCCTGGACAAACCTTTCCAATCAAAAATCTAGCCAACATAACTTTCAAACTAACAAAAGGACCACAAACATTTGACCTTAAAAATGACATACCTTGATTCCCATGTCTGAGATGACTAGCAGTGTGTTCCTCATCACAGAAACCAGCAGGTTAGACAATGCCATGTTTATGATGATGATGTCCGAGTTACGTCCACCTCCACGGTCCATTATTACACTCTTGCCAATCACTGCAACCACTGTGGCATTACCCATAATGCCCATTATCACCAGGATGATGTAAAAAGCTGTTTGTGCAGGAGACACATCAGCGCGAAGTCCCATCCCCACAAGCTCCATGTCTCCATTCTCCTGCATGTGTATTCCAGTCATATTTCTCAACAGTTAAGTCTCTGAAGAAGTTTAACATCTGATATGTAGTCTTAAGACATTCTCAATCTTCAGTTTACTCAGCTGGGCATGATTAATTTCTGTCCTCCAGCATTCAAGTGGACTCAACTGTCTTATCCCTCACTCAGATCAACACACTGCTTTCTGAGCTAATCAAAGAAGGTGATCTGACAAAAAAAACTGACAGCAGAGGCATCTTTACGTTTTGATCTGGTCACATATCCCTGTCAGGCACAAAGCTAAAAAGCTGCTCAAAGTTATGAGCCTGGGGGGCTCGAGCTGCTTGCTAATGATACACAAGAGATTAATCAGTTTCCCTGAATGAAATTTGCTTCCTCTGCAACATCCCTATGCCATAACCCTTGGGGAATTGACGTATTTTTTTTTCATGTTCTTCTTGTTGTGGTTTCAGCAACTGTTTAATGAAAGCACGTTCATCTTTTGTTTTTGCCACTACTGTAGGTCAGATGTGCACTCCAATAAACCCTGAAACCCTAATACTGTTGAGTATTATTTGATGTGTTTTCTTTTCCTGCACAACATAGGAGTACAATAACCATCATAAATATATAATTGATAAAAAATAACACAATGAAAAATTCATAAAACCTGTAAAGACAACTGTGTTCTTGACATCACCATCTGAGGATCCTGTGACCAATTTCAACTCAAAAATACGAAACATCATTGACAACATTTTATTGGTGAAAGCTTAAATCTTAGAAAAAAACAAAAGCGCCCTGGAGACATGGAGTGGTTGTTCAGCAGCTTAAGAGATAATGTTGCCAGGCTGAACGACTGTGGAGAACATCAAAGTTTCAGGTTCACAATGAAATCTACAAGAACAAATGGAATGCATACAACAAAGAACTTAAACAGACCGGACAGTCACATCTTAAATCATTAATGAAAATATCAACAATAGTAAAGTCCTTTTCTCCACTGTTGACAGATGTATTAATCCAACCCCATATGCAACAGTTATTGACAACTACAGGCCCATCTCTACCTTATCAATGAATGAAGTTGTTTAATGATCTCCATGGAAACACTGACTCCAATAAATGATCTGTTCTTGTGCTGTTGACAGACTCTGCTTAGAGTGTGTGTGTGTGTGTGTGTGTGTGTGTGTGTGTGTGGGTGTGTGTGTGTGTGTGTGTGCGTGCGCGCGTGTGTGTGTGTGTGTGTGTGTGTGTGTGTGTGTGTGTGTATGTGTATGTCTCATGCTCATGTGCATATCCTTTCTTTGAGGTGCCGAGAGGTTGTCATCATATCCTGCTAGGTCTAGGCCTGGGGCATTGATCCACCCAGAATATAAAAAGCCATCTTCCTGTGCCACTCTTACTCTCTCTCCCTCAGCCAGACCGAAGCAAGCACAGTTGTTGATTTAGTTCTTTATGTCACTAACTCTTCAACACCTCACACCAAATAAATGCTTTAACACACACAGATTAAACACCTCATAACTTTTGCCACTGATCATTTATTTACCTAATTTTGTAATAAATAATTCATTTTTTGGGATAACCTACTGTAATGATGGCACCAGGACATCCTGTACTATATTTCCTTCTTGAATGTATCAACTTAAAAGAAGCGCTGGTCAAATCATACATTTTGTGAAGTTGATAACGGAATATTGCTAAAACTCATAATTCAAATCAACATCAAACCATACAAAAATTTGTAGGGAGGATGAAAAGCTTAACATGGTGTAATGATCAACATCTGTGTGTGTGTGTGTGTGTGTGTGTGTGTGTGTGTGTGTGTGTGTGTGTGTGTGTGTGTGTGTGTGTGTGTGTGTGTGTGTGTGTGTGTGTGCGCGCGCGCGTGCGCATGTGCGTGCGTTTGCGAGTATGCATGGCCATCTGCTTGTAATTGAATGGTTCTTGCTGCCCCTTGTGCCCTGGGGTGTCATGGTTCAAGTTACCTTCAGGAGACATGTTTTCCATGGACTACTTAGGCTGAATCTCTATCATTTCAAGAATATTAGTTTTGTTAATGCATGTAGATTATTATGAGTGAATGTGTGTGTGTGTGTGTGTGTGTGTGTGTGTGTGTGTGTGTTTGTGTGTGTGGAACTACCAGATACTTGCATGAATAAATCCACAGATGTTGTTTTTGATATAACATATTATTAAGTAAATAAATAAGGATATTGTTTTATCCTATGTGCTGTACATTTTGTTATTTTGTCTCCATTGTAATCAGTTTTTATGATCTGGGCAAGTAGAAAAGCATACTTCCCAGATGTTTTTCTTTAAAAAACAACAACACTTTTTTTTCAAAATGTATCAAAACCATATGAATGAATGTCAGCCACATGAAAGAGCATCTGAATGCCTTATACACAACACCATTAAGAACCTCTTGAGCAAAAAAAAAAAAAAAAAAATCACCATAAAAAATGTGAATTTCCTTTCAATTACTTTATTCTGGCTATAATCACAAATGTGAAGGGCTAAAGAAAGCATATGAATTCATATGTTATAAAGTTATTCAGACTAGCCTTTTTTTCTACAGGTCAGTGACCTGAGTGAAGAAGTGATCTTCAACATGAAAATTCCTTTGACATTCCTGTGAAGAGTTCATGGCCTGAGTGTAAAAGGCTTGGACCTCAGATCTTCTGATCCCTCCTCAGATCTGCTCATGAACCAGATGGGGGAAGCAGCAGAGGGGTTGAGTGCGTCGGTCGGGGTCTATGCAGAGTCCACCTGGGCCCCTTACTTTGATGTCTTGGTCAGCTGAGAATAAGTTTCTTTCACTTCAAGTAAGACTTGCTGCAACTTTGGTTTCTTGATTTTTCACATTTCTTTATATTGCTTATATATGTAGATGTGTATCTTTATACAAGCACAGTTGTTTTTATCTATTTCAATGCCTGCAATAAAAAGGGCTTTGATGTTATGGTTCAAGAAGTAATAACCTCAAAAGACTTACACGGTTGTCTGTCCTAAGTAATGAGTTAGGTGTTTGAGTTCATCCTGGTTCAGTTCACAGGTGTCTTAGGAGATAACTAAAGGTTTGTCAGAAAAAGTTCATCACCTATGCTGATTCACATTTAGATCCAAAATATTATTGGTGAAGGTTTCAAAAGACTAGGAATAGCATTTCCTGGTTTATGCTCTCCGCAGGTGCCTGTGGACACAGAAATAAACTTCAATCCTCCACATTCCAATCATCAACAATCACAAACTTGGCCCCATTCATTTCTAAAGGCAGATTGTGAGCTCAGCTTTAATGCAATGCAGCCATCTGGTTGTTCCTTCCTTCCCTTTTTTGATGAACAAAGCCTATTATCATCGGACGTCGGACACAATGGATAGAATAAGTAGCAACCATTACTGTCTGCATGTAGGGCACTAAGCCTTCTCACTAGCAGATTTTAACAACAATATAACAAGGGCTGGCAGACCTGCTTTTTGATCACCTAAAGAGATGATGCATCCCATGGAAAAAAAAAGTATAACTGTCTAAAAGGCAGAGGCGTGTCCAAAGGGGTGGCTATAGGTGGCATGGCCCCCACTTGAAATCTGATTGGCCACCCCTGATGCCACCCCAAAAATCCTAAACTGAGATTAGCTATTTGGTCCGGCAGAGGCTGAGAATATGTTAAAACCAATTGTTAAGGCTTGCATACAAAAAGGCTTCTTGTAGTTTTCTTTACATATCAGTGTAGACGCTCCAGAGGGTCCTGGACTGTCGGTTGGGAACCAAAGATAATATTATTGTAAGATAGGAATTTGCCTAAAGCTAATAGACATCTGAGAGAAAAGGTTTAAATTCAGACAGACAGACAACAGCAGCAAGCCAAAGACTCCCAGTGGCCTAGAGGCAGGGTCGACACACTATACATTTATAAACAGTGTGAGCAGTAGTTGGATTTGCAAAAGATGCTGGCAATGCAACACTACATAAAAATGCAATAGAAATGCTGGCTATTCAAATACTGAAAGTAACTAATAAATATAAGAGTGGTATTGATACTGGCTCTAGCTCTTAGGGGGAACAAAGGGCAATAAGTGAACATAAAATGTTTTATCCTTTAGCAGAAGCACTCAATTTATCACAATGTTTGTTGGTATACATATTCAAAGGCTCTTTGTTTTCCAGTGCAGTACGACAGACATGCAGAAAATGCACAAAAAAGCTGAACATTTAATAAAAAGTCATTCCAAGGATCTGAGGAGAAAACACAAACTAGTGAGTTTGTCAACAATTTGAAAAAGGACATCCAAATGGAACACTATTTTAGTGCTGCTTTTGTTCAGAGCAGTATATTATTTTTCACAGAATATTTCCATGTGCTAAGGTACCGCATCAACAGTTATATTACTCTCTTTAGTAAAGTGTGTCTTGGTTAAAAACAAGACAAAAAAAAAACAGAAAATAAGAAGAGAGGGAAAAGGGGTTTAATAGTTTTGAGAGTCATCAATGGTTTTTGCAGAGATGGCTGATAAATGTGAACAAAAATCAAAGAGTCAGATGGAGCTCATGTCTGAGAAAAAGATACAGAGCAGGAAGAGGCCCACATTACGACCAGACAGACAACATAAGAGGACTGTGGCACATGTTTTCATTTAACCCTTTACAAGATGTGAGCTTGTTGGAGAGGACTGGAAGAGTTGGCTGCTAAGAAAAAAAAACCTTGTCCCTGGCACAGAGATCTGTACTAAGTGACAGATATTTGGAAGGTTTGTTATCAGTTATTGGTCTATAATCTTTGTATTGTTGAGTCACTTTTCCTTTTAGGAGTACACTACTGTTATGTGCATTCACTGTTATTTACAAAACAAAAAGGAATCAAATCCTTGCTGTAATATCATAGAACCAATCTAGTTCATGAGTTGATGTAAAATATAGACCTTATTGCAATGATATGCTCTCCTTTAACATCATTTTATTGGGGTGTTGTAAAAACAGTAAATGGGCCTTTAAACCATGTTTGATAGGATATTGCGTTGTTCAGCCTTTAGATTCGATTGTGCTAAATGGTGTTTTAAAAAAAACTTTTTTGAAAGTATTAAAATATATAAGTAATTTCAGGGTTTAGCTGAATGGGGACTGAATTTGCTCCACACAGATGGGAACAATCCCTCACAGCCACTGCATCTCACATCACTTAAATAGTGGAAAAAGAGGCTCCAGAGTGGGGAGTGGGGTTTGCCGGGCCATGCTTGAAAGAATAAAATGGGGTGCAGGCGGGTAGACGAGGAGGGGGTTAAAGGAACCAACAGTAAGGGAACATAGAGTGGGGTGGAGAGGGGGGATGGCAAGACAGAAAGGAGAGCAGGGAGGGAAGGAAAGTTTTTTACCAAGTGTTTGTCTTAGTCCCCTCCAGTCCTGTGTACACTCTGAGAGAGAGGGAACAAGGAGGGCCAGTCTCTCTGATCAGGTACGTGTGTGTGTGTGTGTGTGTGTGTGTGCGTGTGTCTATGTGTATCTCTATTCATGTGTTTGTATGTTTGCATCCATGTGTCTGGACATGTGTTACTATGTTACATAAGTATTTTATATGAAACATTATAGGAGGTGAATTTGCACATGATGACAGAGTCATATTTGTGAGAAGCTTTTTTTGTCTTCAAATCTGACGGTAGTAATGGATATTTTCCAACAGTTTTGGTGCAGCAGTGAGAGCCATTACAAAGCTGGCATTCATAGCAATGTTTTCTTTCCTTTTTTTACACTTCCTCTCTGGATTCCCTGTGGATTAAGACCTCTAAGAATGTACCTCTCTGCAGGCTGTTACAAATCTAAAACTGACCCTGTTCGCACTGCACCTTTATATGTTAATTGAACTTTGGTTTGATAACTTTGATGTTGAGTTTGAGCTTGAAGGAAAAAACATACTCGGAAAAAAGCACCTTGTGTTCTTGAAGATCACAGATCCAAGTGTAAAAGAAAGAGAGCAGGAAGATTATTTTAACTTTTGCCTAACATAAATAAACTCAAGATTAAAGGGGGGATTTCCAGGTATAAAAAGGTAAGAGGACTACTTTGAATCAAAGGAGTATGACTTTTTAAAAACTTCATTGTCATAAATGTGTCTTCAATTTCACAATCCCTTAAAATAACCTTCCTCTCCTGTTTTCCCCTTATGTCCTGCTGTTATACCTGTCCAATGTCTTTCAAATGTTAGCAATATCATTCGATATTCAATATACCCTTTAATACAAAACTTTGCACTTTGTCTTTCTTTCCTAGATAACGGTGAAGATTTGTCTGACTGTGACCATGCGTGTGATTATTATCTTCCTCTTGTCTGGCCTGCTTCCACTTTCTCTCGCCCATGGACAGGACCCCTTTGCCTGGTTGTATGGCCGGCGAAGCGAAGGACATTATATTGGCTCTCTGCAGGCAGACTCTGCAGGAGGTGTGTGTCCAGATGAGTGTGACTGCCCACCCACCTTCCCAGTCGCTATGTACTGTGATGGGCGGGGCCTGACAGCCATGCCAACCATTCCCTCCCGTATAAAATATTTGTACCTCCAGAACAATGCCATTACAGCTGTGCCTGACTCAGCTTTTGTCAATGCAACCAATCTGGTGTGGCTCATGATGCACCACAACCAACTGACATCTGATGCCATTGGCAAGAAGGTAAACACATCCATCTGGTCTCAGTCAGCCACATGTGAGCTCAGAGCATAAAGGCTGTCAGATGGCTTGCAGGTGGCATGCTGTTTCATGACAAAGAAAGCAGTCATTGTTTTATTGTTGCAAATCTATGTTTACAATAGGAGCATGTATATATTTGGACATGTGAACATGGACTGGGTCCAAAACCACTCCATATTTACTATACATTGCACTACTATGTACATTTACATTTTATCATTTGTTTTAATTGTCCAAATATGCATATGTGTCCTCTACATTGTCATGTCATGTATGACATAGTTTATCGAAAAGTCTTTGGGGTAAATACGTGGTCATTAGAGTATACGTTATAAAAAGAATAGGTGTCAATAATCAAGAGATTAATTTCCATTGTGGCCCCACAAGAGCAAAGGAGCAACAATGGCCTTAAAGATATTCACTGGGAAAACATGATGCAAATTCTGAAGGTAAGCCAAACACGAAACAGGTCAAGACCAAACCATAGAGTGTAAAGAAAAAAAAGAAAAAAAAATGTGGCCATTGTAAACTCACTTGCTGGTTTTTGAAATGCTTGTACTGATTTGAAACCAAGATTTCAACATTAGAAGATTAGATTGTTATGAGAAGATAGGCTGGATCCTGAAAGTAGTGAATGGTTAAAATGTTAACATGACAAATCTATATAATCTGTGCAAAAGGCTTCTTCATCTGCAGCACATGAACACTACTGTGCTAAGATAAGTTATAGAGGCCAACACCTTTTGTTTGTATCAGGCTGCCAAAATGTTTAATTCAGCAGTAGGGTTAAGCATTTTAATATGGAACCTTACAGGTCTTTGGGGATATATGCACTATATGGTACAATTAAGAAAAGGGCCTGGGGCTCACATCAAACACAGTGCCACTGCAGCAAGGACTGTGGCCTATTTACATGGGATGAACCACCTGAGCTAAACAATGGCCCCTTTTATGTAGCCCCCATTTAGGTGCCAAGTCCTGAGTTGGCAACCCAAAGTCTGTTTGGGTTGCTGCACGAAAACTGTCCCAAAGAACAATAGAGGTCAGTTTGACAAGCAGAAATTAAATGTGGCGATAAACCAAAATTGATTCATATTTCTTCAAGCCTCTATTGTTGACAAATGCCTGACCTTCCTCTCCATAAGAAGTACAGGCCACTCTGACTCCAAGGAGGCCTAGTCTCGACTGGACCTGCTGTTAAATCTGTTACTCACTATCGTCAAACTCTTACAACATTCCCTGCTAAGTCCCCTTGTGCCTGGAGCTTGATAACCTTGACCTCCCAGCAGTCCAAAGCACTGCTTGCTGGATCTACTCTTAGATCCTGATTTTATTTTTATTTTTATTACTGTTTTGTCATTTTATAAAGAGGACGCCGTCATATATTGATTGCCCTTTCACTCATTGAAAATGACGCTGGTCCACTTAGCTTTCCCTGAGGAACACTCTAGAAAGAGTACTGTTTTTTTTTTTTTACATTAAGCCCAGACAGTAGCAGTGGCAGATGTTCACAATAACATACATTAGCTATGTTATTGCGAACTACATTAGCTACTCCTAGCATTCTTAACTTTCTTTTTTACCTTGAAAAATATATAAATGCACATCTTTTTTTACACCATAGCCTGTTGACAGAGTGAACAAATAAATATTCATAGAGGAAGAGAACACTGCTAATCTCTGTTTGCGAGATTCTAATTTTGTTTTAACAGCTAGTTAGCAGACCAGCTGCAGCATTGAGCAGCAATATAACATACATGCAAATATCACTTTAGTCAGGCAGCTTTTGTTGTTTTTGGAGTGGTCTTTATTTTCTTTCTCACTGATAATAACACACTTATACCCTTCAATTGTGGCTTCTTTCTTTCTTGCTAGTGCTCAGCCTGCTATCTGCTCTGTCAACCACTGACATGCTCCTCCAGTCAGCTAAGAGGAAAAGAGGCATTTCCCCAGAAAAAAAATAAAAATTGTAATAATCCAAAAAGTATTTACAGCACATTTAAGATAACGGCAACATGTTTTCTTAATGCAACAAAGGAAAACGTCAACATAATTTCAGTTGGACATTTTCATGCAAATCAGTAGCATTTGGGTGGGTTGGTTAGTTATTTATTATCTGACTTTTCTTTGAAGGCCTTTCTGAAGCTGGAGGCATTAGAGCGCTTATATCTACAACACAACAATTTAAGCAGCATTCCTTCAAACCTCCCCCGCTCCCTGAGAGACCTGAGAATCAACCACAACAAAATTGAAAAGGTAATGTTTCACAGTCGGATATTTAAGCAGAGCCTCACTCTTTTTATTTTTTTCGTTTATACACAGCAGAGGCATTCGTCTTTAAAATGATTTTTGCTGTTGCCTAGGTTACAGCTGTAGATGTGGAGGGAATGGATAACCTCACGATCCTGTATCTCCATGACAACGCTGTCACGGATATGGGCACATCACTGAAGGCGCTGATATCGCTCACACTGCTGGACATCAGTGGCAACAAGTTGACAAAGGTATTTGTGTTATCTTTGTGTTTTTAATTGTCCCACTGATTGAGTGGATAACCTCCAGTTGTCCCACAATATTTTCATGAACTGACGCCAGGTCCCAGAGGGTCTCCCAGAACATCTGCATCAACTCTACCTGGAGTCCAACTCCATTGATTCTCTTCCAGAGGGCTTCCTGGGCAGTTTCACTCAGCTGCAGTACGTCAGAATTGCCCACAATCAGCTCACTGACAAGGGGATCCCTCCCAACACCTTTAATGTGACAGGGCTGGTGGAGCTTGACCTGAGCTTCAATAAACTGGAGCGAATCCCTCCAGTGAGCACAACACTACTACATCTCTACCTGCAAGCCAACCAGATCAAAGGTGAAATGTTTGATCAATCATTTCCATACAGACTTCTCTGTATGAGTAATTGGATAGAACATAAAATAATGTTCAGCCAAATTTTGAACAGATTTATTTTAATTTCCTTCATATCTCAGTTGGTAACAGGTGTTGCACATGGTTTACTGTACCATTCAAACCACATCACAACAAACCTGAACATCCCTAAAAGAGCAGATAAGCTTGTCTTCGACTTAAAAGAAATTACCTAAGTAAATACTAAAAAGTACTCGTGATCTCCTGCAGAAGCAGATTCATTTTCTTCATTATTATACAGACCAATTGGCAACATTTGATGTTTGAAATAGTTTCTGCTGAGTTTGGGAAGACATAATGCTGCCGTTTGTGAACAGAAATGTATTCTTAACCACTTTCCATTCATCCCACTAGAGTTCACTCTGGGTAGTTTCTGCAGCATTATGGATGTGACCAACTTCTCCAAACTGCAGACTCTGCGGCTGGATGGAAATGAGATCAGCCTCCAGGACATCCCTTCAGAGTCATCCGTCTGCCTGCGTCAGGCCTCCAGCATCGAGGTGTAACTGAATGTGACACAGTGTGTGGCACTCTGATCACAAATGTACCAGAACAAAAGAACAGCAGGTGGCAGCAGTCTGTACTGTGATATTCATTGTTCAACTCATAGTACATGTAAAGATTTGTGATTGTTTGCATGGCATCTGAAGAAATAATTTTACACATCTGGACTAAAATATGTCTGGTTGTATTTGATTTAATAAAGGGAAAGCCTTTTACTTCATAATACAGTGTAAGACAATGTATGAGTAACATGTAATGATTATGTTTTGCATATCGAATTGATCTGACCCTAGCCTTTCCTTTATGTTAGTGTGATGATCAATGCTTTGTGAACAATTTGTATCTTCCTTTAATGGTCTTTTTGTCTTTTTTTAAAAAGCATGCTTTTGATTTTTTCTTATTGTATCATAGGATGATAATAAAAATATCATGTATTATGCATTTTATTTGAAATTACTAGCGCTATAAGAAGCATGACAACATCTTCAACACTTGACAAACCTTGTCTCATGGTTATATTGCAATTTGGTAGATTATTTTATCTTTGTGATAAGAATGCTGTGACTGTTTTACCGTATTTTCTCTTTTCGGTGACACTCAATTTTCTTGGAGACAACATAGATATATATGTACTGGGTGAAAAACATGTACTGTACTGTAGTAAATCACAACTACAGAGGCCTTTATGTTTGTATTGTGCCTTGTGAGTATTACATGGATTAGTTACCATACTGACACAGAGTTTATGTTTACATGCTTGTTGGAGAATAAATAAAAGTTGCGATTTTCTAAAAGTATTTGTGCATTTTGTCTTATACACAGTATTTTTAGTGCATTGTGTTTTACATTCTTTTTGTGTAGGTTGTCAATGTTGTTTGAATCAGTGATTTTTATAGACTTTGTCAGAAAAACACAGGGGCATCGTAATATAGTTTGATGAGGGCCAAGTCCAGTTTTTATTCATTCTGAACTGATGTAATAGCACAGCTATCTTTTAATTAAGGCTGTTGTTGTGGACACAACCTGGCACTATTCATACACATGTGCATTTGTTCTTACAAGTGTTTATGTGAAGGATCTGAGACATTTTATGAGACATTCCTTAGTAGGCCTACACACATACAGAGTACTTTTTCTTTTTGAAAAGACTTCAGATGTCATTCTGATCACTGATTGTGTCAGTAACCAGGGCAAGAGACATTCTGGAGACAAAACACCTTTGAACTCTGAAGAGGATTTAGAACTATTGCTATACAAATGGTTCTTTATTTACTCTCTGAACAAAGATTTAAGGAGAGGCCGAAACATCTAAGGAGAGAGGAAAAGGGAGATAGCTAACACTATAAATGAAGGCATGTTTGTTGACCAAATAAAACCAGTAGATAACACAGTGGAAGGCTGTTAAGAGGAACTGACAGGAAATAAAGGAAAAGCATCTTAGCCATTCAAAAACAGTAAAAAGTGTATTTTAAAAGAATTAGAAACCATGACACTAGGTAGATGATAGAATTGTTTCCAACTCAATAAGATAACAGAAATCACAATTAGGTACATTTTCAAAATTGTATTTCCAACAATTACCAGGTCTGTGGATGAATCATTCATTTTTGACTGTTTGTTTTCCACAAACATATCTCATTATCAGCTGACAGTTTTAGTTGACAGCTGGCCTTGTTTCCTATTTTCTGACACTAAACCAGGTTCTTCAAAGACCGATTGGTGTGTGTTTTTTTAACTCTAACAATGCATGATGATTGCAGTCTTTTGGTGTATCAGGGTCGAACCCTTTGCATGTCTCAACTTTGTAATCTGTGGCCGCACCTGCAGATACTGTCATTAAAGCAAATGTGGAACATATGCTTACAGTGGCTTGGTTGTGGACGTGTGTCACTGACCAAAATGGCTCAAATAACCAAAAGAGATTCAAGCAGAGAACATTACCCACAGGTGTAATTAGGACACAAAGCAGAGACCCATGCACTCTGTGTAAATGCCAAGAGCAGGGATAATATTATTAAGTCTACTAAAAGTCTGTGATGTCTTTTAATTTAATACAACATGAGAATGTCAGTTATTGTAAATGAGTAATTAGCTTTTTAAAGATTTCTGCTCAACTTTGGCCTTTAAGTCATGTAAAATAAGTTAAGAAAAATGCTGCTGAATATTTGAATAGGCTTGATAAAAAAAGCCAATAGGCTGAACTTATTTATGGCCATGTTTCAGAATCCCAATACATAAAGGGCTAACGATATGTCGCCGACATGCTCATGAATGAAAATGTATTAATACAGTATTTAATGATTTTGTTATATAAGATTAACTTGAGATAAACTATAAAATAAATAAAATATTCCTCTGAAAAATAAAAAAAGAATAAACATATAACCTATGTCCACTTGTTAAGGTTTAGACAATACAGGGAAAACTACAAGTTAAACTTAAACTGGAGGGTGACTGGTGGTTTTAAAAATGTGCATATTATGCAACATTTTAAACATTAGTAGATATCAAATATACCCTGACTAAATATAACGGTGAGTAATGTCTTTCGAAAAAATAAAAATACTGTATTGAAACTCCATGTGAGCTTGTTTTCAGCTCTTTGCTCATAAGGGATGGGAAGGCGCTTCCTTTATCTTGATTATGATTCACTCAGAGGCTCAAACATGTTTCATACATATTTTTTCACATGAACCCCTCCCTGTCCAACCGTTAACCCTGCTGCCGGAGCTGGAGTTGGACTCATTTTCAGGTCGTGAGTTTCATGGCTCAGACCAGCCCACTTGAATTCACAACTTTCTACAGTAGATAGGCTAGATCATTTTAGGCTTACTAGTATATGAGTCAGAAAATGTGCAATATTGTCAACAACCTTGTTATTCATCCAAACAAACTTACAAACAAAAAAACACAGATATTCCTGGTGCCAAAATGACAGAAGAGAAAAGACAAAAACACACAGAAGAGTGTAGAAAGATGTGAGGAAAAACGACCAGGAAGGCAAAGCCAGGGTGAGAACTCTGTTTAGGCTGGAGTTCAGACCTGCTGGGTTAGGCTGAATGCACCACCAACCTCCCCATAGTCTCTCACTCTGATGAGGAAGGAAAACAGAGGAGAGGAGAACATTTGTGATAAAGATGATATGGGAAGGCAGATCCAAGGTGATGAGCCCATTCAGGCTACAGCTCCCAGGGATTAAGCTGTATGCCGTACCTCCCCCTAGTTCCCCATTTTCATGAGGGATGAAGGAGAGAAGAGAAAAGGGCATCACCTGTCTTTCACAAACTCTGCCCACACAGAATTTTTTTTTAAAAGGCAAACTGAACAAGATCATCTCTGCTATTAAAAACAACATTATACCCCACCTGCATAAATAAACAACTGTTGAATTAGTGGAATTTTTCAAATATCTCTTGGACAATAAACTTCGCTCCAAACATACAACCATGACAACCACAAACGCTACAAACCAAGACTTTCTACCAATCAACGATGAGGCCTGAATGAAGAGGAAGCACACATTAAATACACAGACAATCAGGGGATAACGAGACACAGGTGTGGATAATCAGGTTGTGGCAGACACACAAGGTGGGTACATATATCATTTATATGTGTCTCTGTCAACTAATGTACAGTTCATGTTGTTGTTTGGTCATTACTTGTTGTCTGGTTTTTGCTTGTCATTGTGTCTATATGTAAATTTGTATCTGTGTCTACCACCAACCTGCCAAAGGGTCTAAAAATGGAAATTAACCAATGGCTACAATCTGGCATATTTACATGTTTATGTTCATACAGGTGCACTGTCCCTATTAAATGAATAAACAAATGAGCAACAGGTTCTGAAATGAGACATGGGTGAGTAAAAACTACACAAAAAAAAACAAAACAGGAACTAATTAAAATGTAGAAAAATTTAAAAACATGACTATTTGACAGCGTCAAAAATGTATGTATGCACTTTTGCAAAATGTTTGCACTTTTGTGTTTCTGTTCTGTTAACCATCACCCATGTGTGATATATGTTGTAACAATACCTTTGAAAATGAGTAGTACATGATTTTCTTCATTCATCTCCTTGTCACCAGTCATGTAGTTTGACATGGTCGCGGTCACATCACCAGGTTGTGATTATGGGTGACACAGATGAACATACACTTACAATTGGGCAGTTATCTGTTGATGTCACTGACCAAAATGAGGTCTATATATCATCAGTCTCTGCAGTGGTTTCAGAGTGTGGTTGTTAAGACACAGTTACTTGCAGATTGTCACTCACCTGAGTCACACACACACACACACACACACACACACACACACACACACACACACACACACACACACACACACACACACACACACACACACACACACACACACACGCACACTCACAAGCACAGCTATGCAATCATCTAAAATAATGTAGAGTGGGGAGTCATAGGCATGATTTGTCTTGATTTTAAAAAGGCACTGGTGTCAGACATGACATCGTTTTATATAAAACAACATTAACAAGCTATGTATCAGACTGAGTGGGGGTAAATTAGTCTTATAAGTTTCCAATACGAGAACTTATCTTGTCAATATACATTACATTATGATGCAATTTTAAAAGGTTTAATGTGGTGTTGTGGGGGAAGGTCTGGGCAGGTGATTGGTTGGAAAACACCACTCCATAGTCTGTCAATGGGGGAGACTTTAAAACTGACCGACTGGGGAGATTCAAATGTCTATACAGAACTTTGACAAGCAGGAAAGAGGACATGAGGAAATACGGCTGGAACAGTTTCAAGGATTTAATTTTAGGAAATCCTGCTGTTGTCGACCAGGTAGGATCAAACCTGTTTCACCAGACTTTCACTTAAATATTCTTATTTGTAATTCTTTTAATCATAAATGTGGGATAGTTTAACACAGAGTTTTAATTTGGTACCTGTCTGTGTGTAAAATGTGTAATGTGTTGATACTGTTTCACTTGGAAGGTAAGACAAGATGTAATAATAACAATATAAACAAATATTCCATTTAAGTGGTTATGTTAGTAAATATAACTTACTGTTATGATGGCAAAAAAATTGGATTGAACTAATTGTTCATTTGCTAACATCATGGCAACTCGATGCTATTCTAACACTAATGGAAATTATTTTGAAAGTTGCAAAACCTTTATAATAAATGTATTTGTGGCATATTCAATCTTGAACAGCGCTGTCTGTCTCTGATGTGTGACCATGAAGCCAGTCTGTAGTTTGTTTAAACCAAACAGTAACAGAAATGTGTGTAGCATAATTCTAAGATTTTCTTTTCTTACTGAAGTTTTTTTTCTTTGTCTCAGAAAAAACATGATATTTATGACATTTACCGTATACAGCTTTAATTAGTTTGAAATGTTCAACAAGCAGGACCCACACGTGGATGTTGGTGATGAGAACCCTGAGCGTGGGAACTGGGCCAGCAAGAGAGAGTACATCCTCTCTACCATCGGCTATGCTGTCGGACTGGGAAATATCTGGAGATTCCCATATTTGGCCTATAAGAATGGAGGAGGTTAGTGTTTTCTATCTCATCCCTTTTAATAGAAATACTGTTTGTTTTTGAATCATTTCATTCCTGTACCAACCAATGTGTCGATTTGAACAGGTGCCTTTCTGATCCCCTACTTTGTGATGTTGGTGGTGACTGGAATTCCTCTTTTCTTCCTTGAAAGTGCCTTGGGACAGTTTTGCAGCCAAGGTCCGATTAACATATGGAGATCAGTACCAATACTGCAGGGTAAGAATAGTCCTTCAAGACTTGTGAAATCATTGAGGTACATCTGAAGGTGAAGAGGGATTTAATGAGGCTGTCGGTTAATGATCAACTTTGGAGGCAAAATCAATGTGTCAGGAGAATTATTCTTAAAGCTATGAAGAACTTCTTCAAACTTCCTTGTGTTGATATTGGCAGCCTTTGTGGACAAAGTAGTAACAGCTTATCTCTTTGCTGATCCTGCCCTTCAAATCTGTGTTTACTATCTCTGAAGAAAGAAATTCTCCTTTGGCAGTGATCATGCAACAAACCTTTTTTTGTTCTTGTTAAGTGGGGGTTATTTCTGTAGTATATAGACAATTATGAAATCGTGAAACAGTTTGTGGATCATCTTAGATTTATTCAGCCATGGTCAGACAACACAGAAACACAACACACATGGCTGACAAAGTGCAGACCATCGCTGACCTATGCTGACCAAGATCTCACAATCATTGACAATCATTGACAATCATTGGCAAAGTGGCAGAATGGCAAAGTCTTCATCTTCACAGTGTTGCTTATAGTCTGCTAAAAGGTACAGCCCACACATTCCTGGCTGCTTCATTACATCTCTAAAAGGCTAGAAAGAAGACATCACGTAAACATTTCTTCAGTCTCAGAGTCACATTTCCTCACAACAGACACTTGGCTCAAAACCAAATATAACTCTGCTGCTATGAGGTCTCTAAAACATATGTATTACAGCTTCACAAACCTAAAAGAAGAATTCTTGGAAGATATATCCACAAAATTATCAAGATGAATGAATTCATGAAAATACGTACTAACAGTTCTGCATGCTGTGAATAGCTTCATCAAATGCATAAAAATAATACATTTTGGACTGAAATGTCTAAATTGCTTTTGTATATCAAAAAGAGGCATCAGTATTACCAATAAAGAACGCCTCACATTAAGTTTAAGTTTATCTGTAGCAAATATGAGGCTTTGGATTCAGACCAATGATATGGTTATCTGCAAATATTATGTCAAAGTAAAAACATTTACAGAATTTGTTGCTATTCTTCATATAACAGGAAAACCTGTACTTAGACTTTTTCAGCCCCATAAGCAGTACACTTTGGATTTTGCCTCCCATCTATTATGCTGAAAGAACATTGAAAAAATTAAATAATTGTGAAAGACTTAAAGAAATAATTAACCTGATTCCATTAAAATTTAAAAAGAAATGACTGTGATTTGGAGTGTAGTCAAATATTTAACCAGCTATACAAATAAAAGCTGATGTGATCATAAGTTCATTGTATGGTGTAGCTTTGTATTTGAGCCAGCTTTACAAATAAATTATTACATATTACTGAAGGACGCTGAAGGAAAAGATCAAGTTTGTCTTGAGCCTTGAAAGGAAAGTAAATAAAATGGTTTCTTTTGCTACACAAAGAAAAAGACGGCTCATACACACTGCAGGGCTCCTTTATTCCAGAAAATTTATTTCACCAGGTTAGAGACGCTTCGAGCAAATCTGCGCTTCATCAGAGTCAGGAATATTGGAGCCCTGCATTGTGCCAGTCGTCTTTTTCTTTGTTTTCATTTACTATTTCACTCGACTCAGCACCTGCCCTCCTTGGTTTGGATGTGCAGTGGGAAATAAAGTTAATAAACTCTTGGAAATTAAGTAAAAATAAATGAAGAGCAAACAATCTGTTTTAACATATACACACTTTCTTTTCATGAATTTGTTTTTCTCAAGCCAGGGACACATTCATTGATATAAGTCTCGCTGAAATATCACATAAGGCTTCTGAAAATGATGCTTTGTATAAGCAACACTCCTTCATAATCGCACTCTGACTGCCCCTTCAGGTGTTGGAATTGCCATGGTTATGGTGACTTTAACAGTATCAATTTACTACAACGTCATCCTCGCCTACAGCCTGTACTACATGTTCGCCTCCTTTCAGTCGCCTCTGCCTTGGTCCAGCTGCTCTGACTGGTCCAACAGTAACTGCAGCAACACGCCCATAGGTTTGTCTTTTATCTCCAGAGATGTGAAGAGCTGTTGATTAAATCTGCTGTATGGTGTAAATTAACTCTTATACTCATTAAAAGACATTGTTTGTAATCTTCTAGTGTATTGCAATGTCAGTGGTGTTTTGGTGGCTAACTGGACTCATCAGGAAAACAGCACGTGTCCTTTATCTAACACAATCACAGATCCTGTGCAGAGCCCGAGTGAGCAGTACTGGGAGTAAGAAAAACACAAGCACAAATACTCACATGTTGTTCTTATGGCTGTACACTCACATATCTCTCCTCCTCAGCCTTGTGGCTCTGCAGAGATCCAGTGGTCTGGATGAAACAGGACCAGTAGTCTGGCACTTGGCCCTCTGTCTGCTGCTGAGCTCCTTGATTGTTGCTGCAGCACTCATCAGAGGCATCAAGTCATCTGGCAAAGTAAGTCACCATCTACTTCATAGCAATTCACTGTCTACAGTCCAACTTTGGGGCAGATTCAGCTAGATGCAAAATCAACAGCCATATGTCCTGTTGTTATTGTTTTAGGGATTTTCCTCCTGTCACAACCTCAGCTGATGTAGACGGTATGAACATGGGTCAGATATACATGTCAAAGACAAAGAAGTAAATAAAAAACATGTGTGGATTTGTTTTGGACCTATCCGGTGCAGCTGTGGTTAGACAGGGATTTGATTTCTCATACATCCACACTTGATTGACTATGGATATCTGTACTAATTTTGATCCATCTGATTGGATAGCTGTTGAGATACTTCTGTCAATACCAAGGAAGTGGGCCTACTGGCAGATCAGGCAGCCATTGCTAAAAATGTAGGAGGCAGCAGCTTAAAACAAAAACTGGGCATTAGTGTATAGTCTGGCTTTTTTCCATGGATAGCAACCATATGTTAAAAAAGGTTTAAAGTTGACAATCTACCACCAATATTCAACATTATAGTATTAAAAAATGTTGTTTTTGTGATTCCGATTCCAATTCATATAGAAAAAAACAATGTAATAAAAGTGATCATTAGAGTAGCCAGAACGTTATAACTTTGGATAGAAGCAGACTAGGTGTATTTCCGTCTCAGTATTTGTGCTAACCTAGTCATACCAGCTGTTGGCGAGATTGTTTATCAATCTTTTCATCTTTTCTCAGGGCCGGTGAGAAAATCAGGGTTAATCCAGAATACTTCCTACTCCTTTAAACAAACACGTGTAAATATATGTAGCCTAAGATAAAAACATTTCATCACTAAAATGCTGTGTTTTTGATGCATAGGAAAATGAATAATATTATATCTTCTAGGCCCTAGTTAAACTTAAACTTATCTACCTGTGATTTAAAAATGGTATCTCTTTGCTTTTCTCTCTCCAGGTTGTGTATTTCACAGCTACATTTCCTTACGTGGTGATTCTGATCCTGCTGATCAGAGGTGTGACACTAGAGGGAGCTAGAGATGGAATCGAGTTCTACATTGGTTCCAAATCTAATTTGACTAAACTGACAGAGGCACAGGTGAGGACCCATTTTTTGTTTAACGGAGCAGAAATCTATGACAGAGTATTCGGGCCATTAAGGCCTTTTCAAAAATAAAGTTGTTATACAAGAATAAAGTTGTTATTAAGGAAATGCTCAGATTGACTATTAATTGTCTGGAGAAGGGTCAGTTTCTAAAATAACATTTAAAGAGTCCTGATAGTTGATAGTAAGACTTTATTCTCTTATTATTACAACTTCATTCTACAAATCTCAGACTATTTATTTTACTGTGATATGGCCCTAATACTCCTTCCCAGTAATCACAGTGCAGTAATCTATATAAATAAAAGACACATTTTATTGACTTGAACCTTACCTTGTTTTTTTAGGTCTGGAAAGATGCAGCAACTCAGACTTTCTACTCTCTTTCAATCGGCTGGGGAGGAGTCATGACTCTCGCTTCTTACAACAACTTCCACAACAACATGTTCAAAGACACTTTTATTGTCACACTCACTAATGCAGGTAGGACCTCGTGCAACAGCAGTAGGCTTGAAATAATTTAGACATTAATCTCATGTCATTTTTTTTGTTTTTGCTGTTTTGTTATCTTTCAAGGTACCAGTGTGTTGGCAGGCTTTGCAATATTTTCCATCTTGGGTCACATGGCTCATATCTACAAAATGCCTATTGAAGGAGTAGTGAAAGACGGTCAGACACACGCACTATGTGAGCACCAAATCATAAAAGTTTGGGAGACATCCTGGTTGCCTCTGATGTTCTGTTTCTTTGTCTTTGAGCAGGATTTGGCCTGGCATTCATTGCATACCCAGATGCTCTGTCTAAGCTTCCCATTTCCCCTCTGTGGTCTGTTTTGTTCTTCTTCATGCTTTTGACTGTTGGTTTGGACTCTCAGTTTGCAGGGATAGGTAAGCTCTCAGTTCCATTTCATGCTTCCAAAACATTCAGATTATTACTTTTGATGCAATCTGGAATCTTTCCTCTTGTCATTAGAGGTGATCTCTACGTGCCTAATTGACAGCTTCCCGAAAGTCTTCAAATCCAAACGGGGTTTAGTGACAATAGCAACATGTTCCATCCTCTACCTGCTGGGTCTGCCCTGTGTCACAAGGGTAGGTCTGATTTATTGTAGTTAAGCTTTACGGTTCTGTTGTCTGAGGCAGGCCTAGTTAACCTACTCAGCTCATATGTGTTCATGTGTTTGCATGAGACAGGCAGGAATATACTGGGTGACTCTCATCGACTCATTTGTTGCCAGCTGGGTGCTGATTTTTTTGGCTCTCTTTGAAGTCATTGGTGTCGCCTACATTTATGGTAAGTATAATAAGTGATATGTTTATAATAAGGTGACAGAGAGCCATAAACTGCAGCTAATTCTTCATTCTTCTCATGGTTTCCAGGAGGGAATCGTTTTATAAAAGATATTGAGATGATGATTGGAAATAAGAGTTTTGCCTTCTGGTTTTGGTGGAGAGCATGTTGGTTCTTCATCAGCCCATGCATCATCGTGGTGAGTCACACAACATCACGCAATATTTCATCAAAAATTATTAACACTGCACTGCCTCAAACACATCACTACTCCTCTGTCAGGAGCCACTTAACCAATATTTGAAGTCAAATATTTAATTACAGTAACTATATTTACATATTTAAGTTTGTATGTTTGGTCTTCATGTAACTCTCCTTGAGCACAATTTAAAGAAGTACAAATTAGCCTGATCAAGGTAAGAATACTTCCTGTAAATTTGCATTACATACATGGCTGCTGATTTTGTCGTGTAGGTGATCCTGATCTGGTCTCTGATAACATTCAAACCACCCAAATACGCAGGAGTGCAGTTCCCAGCATGGGGCTTGGCTCTGGGCTGGTGCATTGCAATATTTATTCTCCTCTGGATCCCTGTTGTCGCTGTGTATAAGCTGGTTAAAGCAGAGGGAGGCCCCTGGAAGGTACAGTATGTTTAAACATCACCAAATTATGTTGGTATTCTCTCCCCAATGTGTGTTTCTTTGCAGAAATCTTCGAATAGCTAACAGATTTTAAAGAAAAAGTCAGACGCTTGAGTAAATTCTTCTTACTGTTGCCGTTGTTCTCATGAAGATATTCTTGTGTGTATGAAATTAAATCAAATGAATCAGAGCACCATTCACTGGATATTATCAAAAGCCATTAAAACCCCCAATCCATAAACATCTATAGGCATCTGAAAAGTGTTTTCACAAACGAATATCACATTCAAACGATGTTAATAGTTGTGCGTAACTTTTAAGTATCTTTTAAATGATGTACAAAAACTTGACATGTTATAAATTCAGATCTAAAGCCATACCACTACATTGGAAAACATTCAAGGCTATATTAACATTAGCTGAGATAGCTTGTGAATATATGTTCTGTATTTTAATGTTACATAAAAGAATACAAGAAATAAGATTTTCCCCTGACATAATAGTATAGTGCTGTAAGTGCAACGAAACTTAGAAGCAAAACTTTACAAGACCTGTACAAACAAAGGAAGAGAAGCAAACGGTGACTGGAGCTGCAGCTGACCACACGACTTTAACTAAAGAGTTTGGCTTGCTGTGATACAAAACTAAGCCGACCAAACATAGATAAATAAAAATAACAAGGAGGAAATAAGCAGCAGAAGGAAACAGATACTAAAAAATGATACAAACTTCTGACAGAACACAATGGTGGTGAACACAGTTACTGTAGCATTTTTTTTTTCTATAGCCGGAGAGGTTGTACCTAAATTAAAGCAGTGAAAGTACAAAGTCAACATCTCTTACTTTCTGCAGCGTCTGAAGTCATTGTGCTCTCCAACTGAAGAATGGCATCCCTACCTGGACATCCATCGAGGAGAACGTTACTCAGAGGAACGCTGCCACCGCAGGAAAAGCCAAGGGAACAAAGCAAAAGTGGATGTCAATGTGATCTCTAGCTCCTGGCTGTGATGTATTTTTGTGTGTGTGTTCAGCTGACATTTTTTCCTTCGATAAAGCAGTGTGATCTTCAATCTTGAACACCTTGTACTGCGGATTAAAGTAACATAAGTGATGTTTAAATCCATAGGGAGAAAAGAGTGGATACAATACAACAGTTATGATTGACAAAAACCCCAAATATAGCCTACAAATACACCACATTGCTACATATTACTGACACTGAGTTACTGTAAAAGTCACACAATCAAAAAGTCCTGCCATAAATATTAAGTCAAGGAAGGTTGTTTTGGTCAGGCTTTTTCCTCTCATACCCTTATCACTAGAAAAAAGTTCCAACAATTCGTGATGTAACCAGTTTACAGCAGGTTTTTGGTGTACTCAAGAAGGAGAGCCAAAACTGCATTGTGATCCAGGTTAACATGTGATTTTATTGATGGCTAGGAAGGTTATTGATTTCATGTTTTTTTAAGTGTTCTTTTTATCCCAGATATCTGCATCATAAGCCTCATAACACCCAATACTGCAAGTGAGTTGAATCTTGGAGTTAATTGTGTTATTTTAATAGGTTCATAATCATGTCAAAAATAGATGATCTAAAAAAGGCATCAAATATTGCAAAAGTAACAACATTAAGTGCCACAAAAAAGTCTGTTTAAGATCCAGAAAAAGCTGTTAATCCAGTTAAACCATATTTAAAAGCGACTGATGTCACACCTTCTATTTACAAAAGGACTGCTTTGTATTTGTTTACTGTGTTTGATCAAGCCTGAGGAGGGTTACCATTAACTGTCAGATAAAATGATAATAGTGTCTCTGTGACTGTGTATTTTTTATGATGAACAAAATAAAAACTGATTTGATAAATTTGTTGTTCAGGAGTTTAATATTTTCCTCTGTGTGTCACTGGTGTTGTTTTGTTTACACTGTCAGCATGTGATTAAAGCTTCTGTCTGACATCACTGAAAAACTATCTTTCCTTTTACCCATTTTTAAATCAGACTTGATTAGGCCACAAAATAAGTGATTCACACTCTAGAAAACCAGTGTCTTGATCATTATTATTGAATGTATTTAAATAACCTTTACGTTGTCCACTGCTAATTGTCCCTTTGATGCAGGTGCATTTGGGTTCACTGTAACACACAAAAACCAAAGGCACGGATCAGTTGTTTACTGGTGTTCTAACTTGCCACTGGCTGTGGCTTCATATCTGTCAGACAGACATGCAAGTGTAAATGATCTCATCTAATGTCCCAATAATGGGAAGACAAGTGGTTGCAAGACAATCTATTCCTTTAACGTTAGCTCTCCAGCTGTACCTCCAAGAGCAAAAAAAGTTCCAAGTATATTTTGCCAGATGCGTTAAGTCTGAATATTAGTTTCCAGAATCAATCAAGGCCAGTAATGGTTTATTGTTATTGAACACAATGTTTAGGTAATCAATGCATAATGATGATGAACATCCAGTGAGCCTCTAAAGAAAGGATCCTTCTGAATGATTGTTTACAGAGCAGTAGCCTGCAAAGTTAGCTATCTTTAAACTTTGATGTTATACAGTAAAAAGGTACGATTCTGGATTTTACATTAAAAAAATACTTTTGGACAGTGGCCATGTCTATTTCACAACAACAATTTTGTTTGATTATTACAAAACATTAGATTTCTTTTCACACACACCAACTTGCCAACCACCCACCCCCTTTTGAGTGTGAGAAGGCGAAGGTGACATGAGTGAGTCGAAGGAGACGTATCAAAATGTCCATGTAGCGACATTTAATATACCAAATATTGTGTAAAAAACACAGAGGGGTTAAGAAGAAACACGTTTTGGTTGTTGTTCTGATAGAAGTTATAACCAAGTCCAATGCGTATCCTCGGTAAGGATAAATCAATCCATGTATTTAAAGTCTGTGATTTTAAAGTTCCAATAATCCACACTGACGATGTATTGATAAATCCAAAACAAAATCAAACTAAAATCAATCTGACTCCCCAAGACGGTCAAAAATGGTATGCATCCCTAACACTACTGAATGCAATCACCTGGATCCTCTGCTTTATGCAGAGCATAAGCCAAGGCTATCTAACCAGTGTTCAGTATCAGTATTACACATACATACAGTATCACACAGTGTGACTTATTGAATCATTCAAAGATCTAAATGAGCAAAAATAAAAAAAATAAACACATTTTGGCTCTAAATCAACACTCTAAATCAATGAAATTAAAGTACTCAAAATAAATCCTGCAGAGGAAATATGATTTAAGTATCTTAAGCATTATTAAGCAGTATGGCATCTTTTACGGTCAAATCTTGTTCTGCATATCATTTGTGCTAATTTTGATTTCAAACTCAACAATGACTTGTAACCTGAACTGACTGCCTGCTGAAACCATTAAGTGTTTGTGTAAATTTCTCAAACATGGGAACAGCTCATTTTAAGTGTGTTTGTCTATGTATGTGTCTATGGGTTGCTGTCACTCTTGTTTGTCATGACTCCGTTTTTACCTGACTGCCCTGTTTGTTCATCCTGTTTGCTTACTATTTGATTAAGCCCAAAGCTTGTCGTAGGGATCAGCTGACTGTGTGATGTAGGCTGCAAACACACAAATGAGTGTAGATTTGACTTTACATCTCTGTCATAGGTGATCCTGAGGTTTGGTCTGCAGAAATGTGTATGAAGAGCTGATATGACATTCTCACAAACAGACCTGTTCGTCTAAAGATTCATTGGAAAGAATTCAGTTGAGTGGGTGTGACTTTGGATAATTCTATTAAGTCATTTGGAATTTCTTCATCAAATCATCTGAAACACATGACTTGAAATGAAGAAATATGGCTCGAACCTTCCCAAGGATCTTGCTATTCTCTCTGATCAGGTAGGACTGCAGACATATGTAACTAAATGAAAGTAACTGTAGGCTAAGTAGGACTATACCAGTCAATAATATATGTGGTCATTCATTATTCACAGTGCTAAAAAAAAGAAAACAGATTCACAATGTTTCTAGTCAAGCAATGTCACACAGAAGGAAATGCCTTTGTACAGAATACCATGTCATATCATGAGCCGACTGAAATTAAATATTGACATGATGTTGGGCACGCTGATGGTGTCTGGTAGCCCGTCATTGAAAAGACCAACAGTGAAATCCCTTGCAATTCTGAATTCCTAATCATGTTGACACATACCACAATGTGTTTGTGTCTGTATGATTAACAGTCAGCGGTTAACTAAATAGCTTTAAATGGAGAGTACTGTGGAACAGCATGCTGCAAAAGGCAGAGGTTGGAATTCAACCCAAAGCCACTGCAACAAGGGCTTTAGCCTCAGCACATGGGGCGTGAGACATCACCACCATGCCATCTGGCGCCCCTCCTTTTATGAAGTTTGAATATAAAAAACATAACATTTTTAGTGCCAATAGCCTAGCACTAAATGTACAGAGGCTATAGTCCTTGTCGTAGCAAATGTGGGTTCCAATCTGACCTCGGCACTTTGCTGCATGTCAGCCACCACTCTCCTCCCAACAGTTCCTGTCTCTCTTCAGCTGTCCTGTCAAATAAAGACAAAATGGCTTTTTGTGCCTTTATTCAAGAGATAGGACAGTGGATAGAGTCAGAAATCAGAGAGAGAGAGAGAGTGGGGATGACATGCGGGAAAGGAGCCACAGGTCCCTGGCCGCCCTCTTGGAGGACTTCAGCCTCCATACATGGGGCGTGCGCACTAACCACTGCACCACTGCGCCACCAACGCCCCAAGCTGATAAATAACTTCTGATTTGTTTTGGTGAAGGGTTGTTAATCAGTGGATATAGCTGTTGATGAAATGTTAAACTGTAGATATCTAAATAATAATACTGTTAACAGTTTGAGGGGATTCTTGTAGTGTACAGTGTTTATCTTTAGTGATTTTGTAATACCTGAAATTTACCAAACACAGCATACTGAAGAACTTAAATCATTTTCTTTGCCGCTTTGAGCAGGACTTTCCAACCGAAGATGGTGATGAGAATCCTGAGCGTGGAAACTGGACCAACAAGACAGAGTACATGCTCTCTATGATAGGCTTTGCTGTTGGCCTGGGAAATATCTGGAGATTTCCATATATAGCCTTTAAAAATGGAGGGGGTATGTATTTGGCATCACCTATGTTACAAGTAGTTTAAGTATCTTGGAAATCTTAAAAACTTGATTTAATCCCTGGGCAGGTGCCTTTCTCATTCCCTATTTCCTGATGTTGGTATTTTGTGGAATTCCCCTTTTCTTCCTGGAAAGCGCCATTGGTCAGTTCTGCAGCCAAGGTCCAATCAACGTGTGGAGAGCTGTGCCACTCCTGCAGGGTAAACCTGACTAAGCAGGAAAATATTTCAAAGAATTCATTGCATAAGGCAAAGATATTGATATAACTATATTGTTTTTATTTTATAATATGAATGGAAGTTGAAGTGAATTCTGCAAATTTGTGGAGAAAATTCTCAAATTTCAGTGAATTTTTGCTTATAAATACAAATATTGTAAAATCCTTTTTTGTTAATGGAAAAATCCAATATTGGTTTACTTGTTCTAGCTTTAATTGAAGATAAGTGCAGTACCAGTGAAGTACTTCATCTATAGACAATGATGTATGGTTAAAACAATATTCTAATAAATTAATATACATTTCAATGTTATTTGTGAATCCATTATATCTGTTCATATATATGTTAATATACCTGTTGGTCATTTTTTCATCCCCAGTCGATTTTAACCCATAGAAAAATGGTGATGTGAGCTTTGAGGTCTCAGTGAGGTCAGAATTTGAAGTAAGCATGATGTCACATATTAAAAGTCCCTTTATCATGTATTATCTTTTGCAGGTGTTGGCTTTTCCATGGTTATGTTGAACACATTAGTGGCAATTTATTACAACATCATTGTGGCCTACTGCCTGTTCTACATGTTCGCCTCCTTCCAGTTTCCTCTGCCCTGGTCCAAATGCTACAGCTGGTCTGACAGACAATGTAGCACCACACCTTTAGGTGCATTTTCTTTGTTTTTATTATTATTATTATTATTATATTAGATGATATCTGTCACTCTGAGCAAAAGTTTGAGAACCATTTAAGAAGTCAGTTTGGTGGTGTTTTCTTTTTTTACCAAGGTCTATGAATATAAACTCCTTAACAAACATTATTTCGGTCACTTATTTCGCCCCTTTAATGATACTAATTGGTGTTGTATGTTATATCGTTGGAAAGCCTGATTAGTCACCTTTACAACGAGGTATAACTTGTAAGGATCATGCATTCATAGAATGTGCAACACAGCTAAACGTGAGTAGCGCTCTAAAAAAATGTGCCAAAATCCCATGCAATGTTCTTCTGTTGGTATTCACTCCTGTTTTGAGCTTCAAGTGCTGCCAGGTGTGTGTCAGTTACGGGTGTATGGCACCTGTTTGGCACCTGACTGACAGCACTTGTGGGATCATCTTGGGCATGCTGTTCTTGCCAGACTGACCAACACACCTTCAACAACTCCTGGTTGAGGAATGGGATGCCATCCCATTCCGAAATGTGACCAGGCTGGTGACCAGCATGAGGAGGAGGTGCCAAGCGGTTGTGGCTGCGTATGGATCTTCCACACGCTACTGAGGTCCCTGACAGTGTAAAATAAATAATGTGTAAAAAAACATATTACTGTGGGAGAGTGCAATCATCCATTCCACCAAGCAACTCAAAACAGGAGTGAATACCAACAGAAGAACATTGCAGGGGATTTTGGCACATTTTTTGGGGGCGCTAACCACACGTTTAGTAGTGTTGCTCATTCCATGAATGCACGATCCTTACACATTATACCCGGTTGTAAAGGTGACTAATCAGGCTTTCCAACGATATAAAATAAAACACCAATTAGTATAAGGCGAAATAATGGACCAAAATAATGTTTCCAAACTTTTTTTGAGGAGTTTTTATGTACAAACCCATCACATAGACTGATGCCTTGATGTAGCCTTTAACTTGACTTCTGTTCTTTTCTAGTGTATTGCAATGTCAGTGGTGTTTTGGTGGCCAACTGGACTCATCAGGTAAACAGCACGTGTCCTTTATCTAACACAATCAAAGTTCCAGTGCAGAGCCCAAGTGAGCAGTACTGGAAGTAAGAAAAACCTGATCACATATACTCACATGTGTTGTTCTTATGGCTGTACACTCACATATGTCTCCTCCTCAGCCGTGTGGCTCTGCAGAGATCCAGTGGTCTAGATGAAACAGGACCAGTAGTCTGGCACTTGGCCCTCTGTCTGCTGCTGAGCTCCTCAATTCTAACTGCAGCACTCATTAAAGGCATCAAGTCATCTGGCAAAGTAAGTCACCTCATAGTTAGACTTCTCCTGCAAATAAAAGCGAAAGTCTCCTGTGCTTAATCCTTACTCATATCCTTTTCACACATTCAGTAAAAAGATGAATGATTTTCTCTCTCCAGGTTGTGTATTTCACAGCTACATTTCCTTACGTGGTGATTCTGATCCTGCTGATCAGAGGGGCGACACTAGAGGGAGCTAGAGATGGAATAGAGTACTTCATCGGTTCCAAATCCAATTTGACTAAACTGACAGAAGGACAAGTAAGAACCTAACTACTATGTATGCTTAAGTCAACAAGAGCAGAATATCTACACTAATATGCAAATATTAAGCAAATACAACATTTACCACTAAACATCCTAGCGTATGGCTCGCATGCTAACATTTGCTGATTACACCCAACATTCTGTGTTTTAGGTTTGGAAGGATGCAGCAACTCAGACTTTCTTCTCCCTGTCTATTGCTACGAGTGGAGTTTTGACTCTTGCTTCCTACGGCAACTTTCACAACAACATGTTCATGGATTCAGTTATTGTTGCTGTCACTAACCATGGTGGGGGAAAAAACTATTCTATTGGTGCACTTTTTCTAATCACAATAATTAATTTGCATTATCATCTGATCTTTTTTGAGCAAGAAAATAGTGTAATGCATAAGTACTTAATTTAGAGAAATTGAAGTCAATATGTATACTTTTTTTAACATGAGTGAAAGTATCAAACCAGACACCTGTAAACAGCAATCTGGTGGGACAACTAAGTGCTCATAGAGTTATTCTATCTTTTTGTTTAAATTTGATATTAGACCCTACAAATGGATTTAAAAAGCCTCATCCTAGCTCTCTGAGATTATTTCTGATGTCTGAAGTCACTCACTTTGAGATTGTCATCTCCTTTTAGTTACCAGTGTGTTTGCTGGCTTTGCCATCTTTTCCATCTTGGGTCATATGGCTCATGTCTACGGAAAACCTATTGAAGAAGTGGTGAAGGAAGGTCAGACAGACAAAGTCACTCGTCATTTTTAATAAACTTTTAAAAAGCTGCTCTTTGACGTTTTGTGTCTTCATCTTTTCGCAGGATTTGGTCTGGCCTTCATTGTGTATCCAGATGCTTTAGCTAAGCTTCCCATTTCCACCTTCTGGTCCATCCTGTTCTTTTTTATGCTCTTCATTGTTGGCCTGGACTCCCAGTTTGCACAACTAGGTAAGATTTTCTTAAAAACATTAAGGTTATGGTTAAGCATGGTTAAGCTGTCATGCTTTGCTAATTTATCTCAAAACCATTCGGCTATCATCTGAGGAGGATTTATGCCTCTATCTGGGCATACAATGGCTAATTTTTCGGTTATTCTGGTGTAGGCAGTGGTCAGACATATTCCAGCCTACACTTCCTTTGCCGAGCAATGCAATGGAAAAGCATAATTCACCCCTCGATATGTCCGCAAAACAAATGCCATGACTTTTTTAGGAGTGCCTGTTCATATGTTTATGGTCGGACTCAGCTTGTATAAATAGTAAGCTACACACTGGCTTCACACTGGCTTACTTTGCTGGTATGAACCTGAATAATTAAATAAATCCTTTCCAGATTGAAGCTGATGGGATCTGGGATGTCATGACAATCCTTAAATCAGCTATCAAAACCTGCTGATATGTGACTGGTCAATACTACGCTTACTACAAACGTACTACATGTCGAAAGCAGAAACCTTCCAAAGTCTGGTCCTGAATCTGTAAATACAGATTACTAGCTAAATGATAACATCTATCCTATCCTATCCTGTACTTTACTTCTTTCAAAGCACTGGATGTTTGAAGCTACAGATCACAGTGTACTACCAAAAACTCAACAATTCTCAATTCTCTCCCCATCATTAGAGGTGATCATCACCTGTCTGTGTGATGCCTTCCCTGAAGTCTTCAAACAAAAGAGAGCTTTATTGACAATAACAGCAGTTTCCATCCTTTACCTGCTGGGTCTTCCGTGTGTCACAAGGGTAAAGTGAATCTGCCAGCAATGACTGTATTCCTATTATCTTATATCATCACACCACCCAAATGCTGTCTCTCTCTATGTATTAGTTTTTTATACAATTGTCTTTGGTATAGGCAGGAATATACTGGGTGACTCTGATGGACCAGTTTGTTAACAGCTGGGTGCTACTTCTTTTGGCCCTCATCGAGGTCATTGGCATCTTCTACATTTATGGTAAATAACTCTACCAGTCATTGTCTTTTCCATATTTACAAAATGTATCAATATTTATACTACAATTACTGTAAAACTTTGTCCACAAGATATATCACAAAATGAAATTCCTCACAGCTGCATTTAAATGAATAGTTAGGTACTTTTGAAGTTAGGTTTTATGAGGTACTTGTCAATCGTAAATATATTAGCCACAGGAGATGCTTGTCAGCTCGGCCCCACAAGGAAGCTAGGCTATATAGCTTGTTTGCACCACATCATTTATGTAATTTAAAGAAAAAACAAGCTAAGGATCAACATCGAGGAAAATGTTCACTATATTGAAAAAAATCTCAGCAATTTACTTTTCAGCTAACATGCAGTGGATCAAAGCCAATAACAGTAGGGCTCATTACCCAAACAGTCACCTTCCAATGGAAAGGGTACAGGGCCCACTCAAGAACACTGGCCAAGAATGCATCCTCAATATTTCATCAAACTCCTGACTGGGAGATGCAAGTAGACCTGAAGAGGAGACTGGTCTTCCTAGAGGAGGTGGCAGTAGCATAACTTCAACCTGATCTATTTTGGCAATACAAGGCTAGAAACATCTTACTGGCTGAACTTACAGTGCCCTGGGAGGATGAGATTGCCATCTTACTAGGGCTAAAGAAAACTAAGTAACAGGACTTGATGGATGAGTCTCATATCAGGGGGTGGCTTACAGGATTTTTTGCTTTTGAAGTGGGCTGTCGTGGCTTGCCCATCAGCATCACTGCACTTCTTCTAGCAAAGGTTTGGGCTGGAACCCAACCTGCTGAAGAAAGCCACAAGGGAAATAGCCATGGCAGTTGAGGCCAGTTCAAGGTGGCTATTGTTGAAGAGAGATCAAATTTCTAACCCTGCCGCTAAATTAACTTTTGCTGCCCCACTTATAGGCTAGGCATAGATGTTAAGGGGCCAAATGCCTGTGACAATGAGACACCTTCTGAAGCTGCAGCAGGGTTTCCCAAAACCAGAAATGCTCTATCTAGCCTATTACTTTATGATATAAGGATTATGAACAAGAAAAGTTGGATGTTTTTGCCCTTATTTTTAGCAGCTCCTGCAGTTTCTGCATGGAGCAAAGCATCTCAGATATGTATTTCACCTAAAACAGACTGAAATGAATACTGATGCCTCTGAATGACCTTCAAAAGCAACCCAGTACACCAGCAGTAAGATTGATAATTTATCTATAGATATTTTTAATGTCTGTAATCGCTGGCCCCGGGAGAGCATGGTGCTGTAACAGCCTTTGTTGGCATTTCAAACATCAAAGATTCACAGTGAGTGATATGATTACCCGTTAAAATAGGCAGAATGAGATCTTTCATCAGAAAACACCGCCTACAGACAAGACTACTAGACAAGATCCGCAAAGAGATAAGAGGTACTGGCTTGTCCACAGGGGGTACCAAACTCAATGAAAAGACCCTTAAAGTAGCTTTAACAAAAAATACTTAAAATAAAGCTATTAGTTGTGGTTTCTCCCAGCTCTTGGGATCTTGACTTGGTAGGACTCAAATACTAAAGATTTCTATAATCATGGGTTAATTTTTTGTCCTTCTATAGTTTCTTAATTGTTTCTCATTGCTGAAACCTTAACAGTCAAGCGCTTGACTTATTTTCATGTTGGTACCAGAAGTTCAACAGCCTTATATTGATTTTAAGCATTAACATGTGTTTGCTGTCTTATGCATTGCAGGTGGGAACACTTTTATTAAAGACATTGAGATGATGATTGGAAAAAAGAGCTTTTGCTTCTGGGTATGGTGGAGAGCATGTTGGTTCTTCATCAGCCCCTGCATCATACTCGTAAGTTGAACCTGTCTTTTGTTTTTTTCCTTTAAATATTAAATGTGATATTTTCACTTTTAACTTAACAACTAACCATGCATCTTTTGTTAGCTTTATACTAATAAAAAATACAATTAGCTAGTAAAGAGTTTGTATATGTGTGACATGCCCTATCATAAAAGTAGTTCGAGGAGTGGGCTGCTGATTACCAGCATGACTTATGCATACAGAGCATGAGGCTCATCTTGTTGCGATAAGAGTTATAATGGCCTCTTTCGGCCTGTATAAATATCATTAGATGTTCTGTTAGTGACTCAGTATTTTATCTAGGTGGTCCTGTTGTGGTCTCTTATAACCTTCGTGCCCCCCACCTACGGAGGGATTGAGTACCCAGCCTGGGGCATGGCTCTGGGTTGGTGTATGGTTGCTTTCATCCTCATATGGATCCCCTTGGTCGCTGTACATAAGCTGATGAGAGCAGAGGGAAGCCTCTGGCAGGTGTGTATGTTGTCTGGAATAATACAGGAAGCCTTTAAAGCAGGATGAGTAAATGTGCAAACATATTTAATGATCTTAACCATCCCGTATTTTGACAGCGTGTGAAGAGCTTGTGTGTTCCTTCTGAGAAGTGGCATCCCTATCTGGAGATCTATCGAGGGGAACGCTACTCAGAACAAAACTGTTGCCATAGAAGACCAGTGTCAACAAACAATAAGCAAATGTAATTTGTGATTCAGAAATAATGCAGTCAAACTGAAGGTTAATATGAAAAATACATGCAGCTCATGGCTTTCATTTGAAAGTTTTTACATGTTTCTGCACAACCAATCACTTCTAGCCAAAGCTGAACACCCAAATAAAGTACTATAATATGGTCATGAAAAAGACTGCCAGATGATCTCCTATGCACTAAATATTACATTTTGTTCAACAAAATTAAAAAACCAAAACACTATTACATTTTATAAAACAAAATGACAAGCTGTGAACCACTTACAAGCACTGAGACAAATGTACAAGTGGCAGAACACTTTTACCAGTCCCCAAACAAATTTACAAACTACAGAATCTTGCCGGAAAGGGAATGTACCAAATGCAGGAAGTGACACCAGAGGTGATTGAGTGAGGGGTGATTTTGTTTGTTTTTGGCAGAAACACTTGTCTTAGCGCTTGTAAAACTGTTTCATATCTTGTTATTTTGTTTTATAAAATGTAAAAATGTTTTTCAAGATGTAAATTTGTCTCAAATTTTGTGAAAGTGTTTCACACTTTGTAATTTTGCTTTGCACTTCCCAGCCACCATATGTAACCCATCAGCTATTGTCTGACAATTATTTAGCTCCTTCTTTATATCTATGAAACATCTGCACATCCATGCAGAAACTCACATACTTCCCAGATTGCCTTTGTAGCAACTTCAAGAGAAATCTACAATTTTAAGGCACTTTAAGGTCCCTTACTAGAAACAGGGCTGTGTTTTTTGTCTTTCATGTTCTAGGGATTTAAGGACTACTAGGATACCATATTGTTTTAATACCTGATGTCTTAACGTAGCTCCATCACACTAAATGTCTTTTGAAGATTGACGTAATGGATGTGCATTTTGTTAAACTATTTATCTTCTCAGTTTACATTAACAAATGTCAACCAAAGATGATAAAGTCCTCATTTTGGACCCCTTTGCTGATGCATTCAGCCCTTCAATAGCTCCATCTAGTGGTCATTTAGTACAAAACTAATCCTGATTCCACAGACTGCACTGCATTGTTTGTCTAATGAAGCACATCAGGGCATTACTTGCTGATGCTTATTTGTTACTCCACTTAAATTCTAATGTGTTTTTTTTTTTACCACCATCTAATTAAGAGCCATTTTGTCTTCATGACCTTTGTAATTTTTTTTAACCCCAAAACGTAATGGAAGACAAGGAAGGCGCTACATTACAGGAAACTCCACTTGTATCGAACGTATATACTTTTTCTCACTAAAAAATCGAGTTCAGCCAAATTGTTCCAAGGCTAAGAGTCTTATATGTTAAATTGCACTGGCATTTCTGTTCATCTTTAAAAAAAATGACCACTGACTCCTCTATGAGCCCTGTGCCTTGTTTTTAAATGCTGCTTTTAAGTGAATTGTGTATGAGTATACCAGCAGTGAAGAGTTGACTCAGAATGTATGTTACTTTTAATTGAAACCTATTGTAGCATTCACAGTCATGTGCTATATAAAAGGTATTTAAATGTGTAAACATTTAATGTATGTGTGAGAACTTATTACCTCTGTAGTAGCTAGCAACACATTTAAATCTCATGAAAAAGTGTTATTTTGAAAAGCTAGCATTCAAACATAATGATTGACCCAGGGATTTCAAGTTTTAAAACATGGTGAACATTTTCTTTCTCTTAATTTCATTTGAGCAACAGGGTGATAAAATAAAGATATTAGGACGGTGTTCATGTTTAAAAACGTATACAATAATGAAAAAGATTTTATCTAAACTATATTTGCAAATGTTTAATTGAGAAAATGTACCCATGTGTGTTGGCTATAGTTTATATATTGTCAATATATGTTGTTGCCAGTAGTGTTTTTATTTTCATGTTTGCTTTGACTCCTTATATGAGCCGTCCACTGTCTTGTTTTATTGCTGAATATAAGGTGAAAATATGTGATGAATTTACAAATTGTGTTGCTCCTGATCTCCTGACCCTCTTTTTTAGGGTCATTCCTTGAGAACAAAACACATGAAGGTCAAGCATTGTTTGAGATTAAGTATGAAGACTGCACAAACAAGTGAATTATGTTAAAATGTAGAAGCAAAGCTTGAACAGTTTCTGTCAGCAAGGAGTTCACCTAAACAGAAACTTTCACATGCTTAAAATAAAAAACTAATGTAATTAAACTGTGAGGGTTCGCCCTACATTTGCATTTACTGTTAATTAGTTTGTTGTTGTTGTTTTTGACTTCTCAGTAAAGTCAAACTCATTATTTTGTTGGCCTACACCAGTGCTGTATTTTCCCCTATTAAGTACTGTTACCATTCAAGTGTGTTTTAATTATGATCTGATCTGAATTCGATCTGAATTTGATATTTTACAGGTTATTGTTGTGCTGCATGGTTCACACAGAATTGTTAAAGTTTTTTATCTTTACATTTAGCTTTGCACTTCCAATGTGTTTACTTTGAGTATAGTACTAGTTAATTAAATACAGTAATATATATATATATATATTTAAATTAAAAACCCATGATTAAAATTATTTTCATTTGGCAAACATAACAAAAGTTATCATTGATCACCTAAAACAAATAGTGGCCATCATTATATTGCAATGGAGGAGGCTTTTTGTCCTGGCTGTCTGTTTAGCACCTACATACCCTGCTGACTGAAATATGAGTCGTACTGTACACTGGCTGTTTCAACAATTCAAATATTGATTTAAAGACTGCTAGGTATGCTCCTTCAGTTAAAGCCCAGTTTATGTTTGTTTAAAAATGGAGATCACACAGGCTCTTAAAAGGTTGATAGAAGTTAATTTCTGTTTTTTTTTCTGAGCACAAATCTATTAAGACAGACACAGTGACCTTTGAGAAATGTAATAATAGGTTGAAATAATAATGATGAACTTTTATTTATAAATAACATTAAAGGGATACTTCACCCATTTGCATTAAGCTTTGAAACCTGGTAGTATTTTTTGAATGGTCGTGCATCTCGCCCTCATTTTCCCCTGAGATGGGAAATCTTTGTATTTCTAAGTCTTAAAAGGAGCTTCCAATGACGCAAAATGATGATTTTTGCATCACTGGAAGCTGTTCCGGTTAGCCGGGTGAAACTACAACTCTAGTTCCTCATATTTTTGACCACTGAAGCTACAGACCAATCACAGATCAGTGAGTGGGAACTCTCTCCCAGAATCGAAACTTAACGTCCCCATATTGCTTGGTAGCTATGCTGGAGAAAGCTGATAATGGCGAAAAAATATAAATATAGCGGCTAGATGGCTACTGCCGACAGGTCGGTCTTGTCTTTTGGCTGCTGCGGCCGCTGCCCACCGCTGACGGCCGCTCACCGGGGCCGCTCGCCGGGACACAAAACCGACCTGTCGGCAGCAACCGTCTCGCGGCTATATTACTATATTGCTGGCCGCCCGGGTCGGCTCTAGCTGGGGCGGGCTGGTAGTGTCTGTGCTCTCAGTGTTTGCTTATGGACACAGACATAGAGTCTGTTTTCTGCCAGGAATTTCCAAGATGCTAATTCCTTCTGGAAAAAACCTCAGAATCAGTTGAGGAAACGGCCTTATGTGTTGAAGTAAATATGTCTGTAAATGTTTTTATTACTATATTTCCACTACTATACTGTATATTTTGGAGAAACTGTAACGATCGAATTTCCCTCTGGGATTAATAAAGTATTTCTGATTCTGATTCGGACCTTAGTGGGAGTGGCCTGCGGTGCTGTGCATTCTGGGATTTGGCCTTTCAGCCAAAAAGACACTTTCCACCAACTTCAAAATTGATTTCACATATCTACTACATATATGACCCAATGTCAATACAGATTCATGTTTCAGCAGGTGAAGTATCCCTTTAAGTACATTATTAATCAATGATGCATGGGAGTCAGACACAAACAGTAGTAGACATTAATGCATTAAGTTCAGCATAATGTACTTATTCCCATTTTCAAGGGTCCATAAGAAGTAGAATGCTGTGAGACTGGATATGGTTTTAACGTTGTAAACAGTGAAGGGTTCATGGAGCATCCATTCTTTTAGATTTACTGAACTGATGAAATTAATGTCAACAAAACCCCGACTGGGGTTCAGTAGTATCAATATTTAATGTTGAACATCACATGCCATTTACAAGAAAAAAAACTGCCATGTCACTACTAGTATCGCTACTGGATAATCTCATTGGGTCTGTGTTGACCCACTGAAAGCAGTTAAAGTCAAGGGATTACCAACCTCATAAGTAATCATCTTCTAGACATCGTGAATATAAGTTCCCCTTTGCTTAGCGCCCTACAATAGTATCCTCCCTTTCAGCAACACTGCAAGGTTGACTAAAAAATACACATCACATACCACTTTACTGAGCCAGTTAGTGCAAAGCAGATGGATTTGCTACAGGTTTTCATACAATGCCATAAAATGTTATTTCCTAGAAATAAGTTATCACCTCTTGACAGCTCAGTCACTTCTTGCTTCCTTTTGTTTTTCACTCTGGATGTAATTTCAATGTCAACAGTAAAGTTTTACCCCTACTAAAAACAGCTCAATGCTAAAACCTCAGAAAACAGTGTGATAAAAAAAAAATAGCTATTGCATGAGGGTTTCATTCATTATAAAATTATGTATTTTTGTTTTAGGCTGCATCACTGTATCATGGAGTGGTTGTGGCTCAGCGTTAGAGACAGCTGTTCTCTCTCAATTGGATAGCAACATTACCTATGTGGGCTAGTCACTTAACCCCAAATTGCCCCACACTGCTTTGTCGGCGTATAAATGAGCATGAATGTGTATGATTAGCTAGATACTGTACATAGCAGCATCTGCCATTCGTGTGTGAATTGGTAAGTGGGGCCTGCAGTGTAAAAGCTTTGAGTAGTCAAATGACCAGAAAAGCGCTAGCTCAAGTCTATTTACCATTTACCATATCACTTGGGGTATGCATTAGTGAGAGCTGCATGAACACAGCTTGGATGAGGTCATTTAGTTC